AGCAACACTTTTTCAATTATATCCAATTAGGCGGGTCCTTGCGCTACATCGTTGAAGGTAAATCTAAAGGAAATTGGGCAGAAATTGAACAGAAAATTAAAATAATATATGGCCAGCCTTACAGTTTGCACTTTGACTCCTCCTTGGAGATAGCAGCTGTAGCTCTGAGACCTGGGGAACATGAATACTCCTACCGGGTGTTCAATTACAATTGTCCAATGGGTCTCTAGAACACGACGTATGAACTCTGCACAATAACAAGTCAAATCATTCATGCAAAGGCACTTTATTTTATTACAAGAAGTAGGGTGGGAGTGTCCCCATGCAATGGATCAGTGGCACAGCACTGTAAACATCAGGATCACACAGCACACACAACTTTCAGGAAGCTGCATGGAGTATACAGCACAGTGATGCACTCAAAATATGTTGGTCACAGACACAATGTAAGGTTTAAAAATAGAAGTGTATCTGAAATGGACACATTAGAAGCAGTTTTGCCCAATACAGTTTTTCTCAGCTCTTTTTGTTCCTGTAACAGCAATGTAGTTATGATAAGCTATCCTAATGCAATTCACCCCCTTGTTCATCATTATAGTATATGCTTAGGAAACCTCTTACAGCAAAGACTCCTGTCCAGTGCTGTGGCTGCTGTTGTCCTGCTTCAGGGAGCAGTGCCAGGGCTGTGTGTGATCTTCCCTAAATCTAACACCAATGAGGACTCCTTGTCCTGGGTGATAACCCAAGATGTCACAAACATCATTTGCCATGACTGGTTCCCTTTACAGAGAATCTGTTCTCAATATTAAACTAGAGAAAATTAACACCACTATAAAGTCATTTTTGCTATCTGTGTCCCACTGGGGAGATTTTCCTTCACTTTCTGGCCTGGAGTCGCAAAAGGAAATAAATGGAAATTCCTTCTTTAGAGCATTGTCTTAGGATGAGGTGTTTTCCTGCCTTGCTCTGATGATAACTCATAATTTTGGGATTTTCAATCACTTTCCCTTGCTGTGACAGTGGACACCAGGACAAATACAGAAGGTAAGTCTCCTTAAAGTAGGGAAGGGTTAAAACCTTGGTCAGGTCATGCTTCCTGTGCCTTGTCGAGATTTTAAATGATGTCTATGTGCCTGTTCCTGAGATTTGCCCACACTTCCTCTTTTGTCTGACACACATCACCTGGACAGGAAGTAAGGATAAATCTCTCAAATGAGGAAAACAGACCACAATAAAGTAATGAGAGGAGATATAAATCTCTCACTCTACTAGAAATGTAGGCTGTGTCTCCATTCTGGAGGTTTCCTCTGATTTCCATTTAAGCAAAGAGAAATCTCTCCAGTGGAGACACAGGCAGCAATAAAAAAAAAAAAAAGCCTGACAGAGGTTCTAGCTCTACTCCCCTATTCAAAGCTAAAACTAGAAATGCCTTTGCACACACTTTACAGTAAAGGTCATCCCCCGAGGACACACACAAGGTGCCCACTATTACTTTTATTAGCCTCTCTCCCTATTAGAAGGTTATATTTCATGCCATGGGCCAAGCCCTGCCTACAGCCATCACTGTCCAGTGCCCAGTCAAGATACTGTAACTGGATGCCAGTTGGGGGGGGGGTTATCTTTCCATGAAGTCAGGCCTTAGTAAGAGAGTAAAACTAAATCTGAGGAGCAAAGAGGCTTCTTTTTTTTCGACTAGCAGAAGCAACTGACGTATTTTTGTGTCTGCTCCTAAACCCCATTTTTGCTTGAATACAGCTGTACGAAAAGCAAGCTTTGGCTAAACTTTAGACTAGATTTAGGCCTTTTTTTATAAGCGTAGCCAAGGGGCAGTAAACACAGGTGGCTGATCTGCATTTTTACCACCCCTTGCCCACCGAGTCACAAGTTAACATGGCCAGCGTTAGTAGACATTGCTGCAGCACGGTAAAATTCATACACGTTGCGTTTGGCAGGTGGATCCTCTGCCAAAGTGACCTATTCACGTGAATAAGGAAGAATGTCACCAGCACACAGAGGATCTCCAATATGGGTCCAAAAGCGTTAATGAATGATCACATAGTTACAGCATGGCAACGTCTCAGTCGCGCAGGACCCCTTCCTCAGGCATGTGACCATGTCACATGCCTGAGGAAGGGGTCCTGCGAGACTCAGGAACGTGTGCATTGGGAGTGTACGCTTCTATTCACGTGAATAAGACCTTAATTTTCAGAAAAACAAAATAATGAAGATTTATAAGCACTTTAAGGGCTGAAACCTTTGCCAATGCTTTCCAAAAACTTGCTGTATACACTGCTCTTGTACAAGCTCAAGGCAAGGGTCTATATTAAGGTCAATGTTAAACTGAGTTCTGCATCTGGGGTGTTCATTTTTACAAGATAACATTTTTTTTTTTTTTTATCAAAGTCCAGTATTAAAACCAACATTTTTAGGTAGCACTTAGCAGCCCATATCAGTCCTTCCACCTGGAGAAGGTTACAGTCCGATGTAATTTACCAATAAACCTACTATGTTAGATTATGGAAGGAAATCAAATCATCAAATGTCATCTCCTGTCTGTAACATAGAATACATGAGACTGTTCAATCACAAAATATCTCTAGCCTCAAAATTGCATGGAGAGCTAGTTAAGCATCTGGCTGGGTCTCTGTGCAGCCTTTGAAGAGAAGTCATCTCAAATGTCTGAAGGTATGAGCTTGTTTACAGCCTCTTACTGGCCAACTGTTTGTGTCTGGCAGTAAAAGGGTTACTGTGATTGCCATTGCTGACATCCCAATGCAATGATTTAAAACAAGAATACAGACTGGAAATCCTGATCAGGATCCCTATCTAGGTCAGTGACTCTTAGTATTGCAGAGAGAAGGCCACTATGACAGCCAGGTAATCAGCATTTTTAGAATTTATCAGTGGCTACCCAAAAACATTCTCTCATCACAGGTTACCTGTAAATTAGAGCTGTACTATTCTGAGACAAGCGTGCAGCTCCAAGACTGGATAGAAACTTTTAACAGCCCCTTAGCATGTGATTGGTGGGGTTTTGGGACAAAGGTTTACCTTCAAGAAGAATTTCCACTTTCTTGTGGCAATTACTGATGTATGATAGGCACGGGTAACCCAGTTTTGTTCCAGCTTCAAACAGCTCAGCTGTGGCATCTATAGGCTAACTGTCAATATTTTCCACATGTAATCTCCTTTGCAGACACCATGAAAGGTTGAGTTCCATCATGGCTACATGATTATAACTACAGCTCTTTTCATTTACATACCACAAGCACTTAATGGAGGACTGCCACTGAGCTTCTCCTGTTAACTTTCAACTTTTAGTATGTAACTGCTCCCATCATCCATTCCTGCACCATTAACCAGCCAGTCAATGATTTGCCTGGAGTGAGGGAAGAGATATAGAGTTTTGCTGAAACTGCACTTTTCTGCTTTGTCCCAGAATGCTGAACTAGATCGAGAGCGAAAAACAGCTCAAGGGCCAAATCAGGCAAATAAAACCTGCTGCCCCCCCACTGGGTAGCTGTAGCTCTACTGCCAGGGCAACCGTCCATCATCAGACACTTCCAGAACTTGTAAGGTCACTCACCACTTTTACACCCCCATAAATTCCCATAGACAGTCCACAATACAGTATGAAATGCAGCATTTGTGTCCCGTCCCACTGGAGAGGGTGCTCTATAGAAAAGACTTCAGCCCTTTCCAAAAACGTGGATAAAACCCAATTTCAGCCTATTAAAGCTGTGCTGGCGGTCAGAAGAGACCTTTTCCTGGTCCTCCCCCATTCCAAATAATAAGAGAGTTCTCAAAGGGAGTGAAGTGAAGCAAATCTGTTAAATGGCCCTTGCACAAAACAGTAACTCCCTTGCCTGTAGCCCCCTATTCATCTCCAAGACTTCACCAAAACAAGAGGTGTAATTTTACAGAGCCAGGGAATACATTTCATTTTCAAATCAGCACTGGAAAAATGTCAACAGAAATGGACTTGCTGCTGGTTCCATGTTGTGTACGGATGGATGGCTTTTCAGGAGAATCGGCTCAGTGGACAACATAGCTGATGTGGAAGCTCTAGTACTTACACAGGCAGAGGCCTATGATGCCAGCCTGCAGCAGCTGTGGGTCACTCTGCATCATCATACACGGAATAAATAAAACTACATACAGTATATGTACACTAACATAAAAATAACATAATATTGATTACAAAACAAAACAACTTCTCACATCCCACTAAATTTTCCTGCTTTGGACCTCAATACAAATAAACTGAGATTTCGGTAAATTACTGTGCTGGGTAACTTTGATAATGGCCAGCAACCAGATTTTACTTCTGCTTCTTAACCTGAAAAGGAAAACAACAGCTTGAATTTGATTTCGACTGGAACACAGAACCTTCAGGAGAAGTGTAGTTAAAGGAAACCATATGTAGTTATGTCTGTTTTCAGGATGGAACCTTTAACAATTTAAGAGCCAGCTGACAATTTCATGCATCTGCCTCTGTTGGTGAGATGGCTGTTCTGAGTTTAGGGCTCTCACTGCCCCTGCTGGATTTTCACTTATTTAAAATTATGGAGAATATAACAGGAGGGGCTGGAGCACACAAAGGTGGGCAGGAATAGAGTTTGGAATTTTCACTGATTGAGTGTCCAAGACCATATAAAAAGCCAGGACTCAGTCCGACAGAAACTATAAAATCACATTCAGGAGGCCTGACACACAAAGGACTCAGCACAGCATAAGTGCAATAAATGTGGACACAAATAGCTTTGTTCCCAGTGATACAGTAAACCTCCACTGGGGTAAGCAAGGCGTAGAACCTAACAGACATATTATGAATGGATTGGCGGTTGTACATAGTACTGGTCTATAGCGGATAGGATTCACAGAGTAAGCAGGAAATATCACAGATAAATACTCAGCAGTTCCAATTTTTCCCAGTCTTGTTTCTTCATGGCTTTCATATCCAGCAGCCTTGGCTTCCTCACCTTCCAATGAGGCTTCTGTTAGGTGCTGTGGTAGATCCTGATGCGCTGGGCAATATCTCTTCGGCACAGTGGGCAGACATGGAGTGCATCTCCACAACTGGTGCAGCAACAAACATGACCACAAGGAATGAATATTGACTGGGCCTGAAACAGGAAGATCATTCATGGTTATGACAAATACATAAGCAAATACATAAGGGAACAGTTTTGCGGGCCTAGTCCTTTACTGTATAGTGATTCTTTTCAGCGTATTTAAAAGCCGATTCCTTTTAAAGCATTTATTTTTATTGTGCGTAAGCTAGAGAGGGTTAAACGTTGGTCACATTTTAAATGCTGCCTGTGTCCTGACCCTTCATTTCCTGTCTTGTCTGACACCTGTCATATGGACAGGAAGTGAAAGTAAATCTCCCTAATGAGTACACAGAGAGCAATAACATCTTTACAGAGGTTCTAAACCTCTCTCACGCCACTAGAAATGTACATTGTTGGAGTCCGTAAACTAAAACAAATATCCAGATAAGTGCTATTTTCTGATTTTCTTAATATGTATACCAGTCCCAGTCAAAGTACTGACAGCAGAGGATTAGTATTACAGCGGGCAACAAGGACCATCCCTGAGTGAGGAATGGCAAATTCCATTTCAACTCCATACAGCATGCTTATAAGGGGCGCTGCTTTGAACCCTGACACAAACCTGATACAGGTTAGGGGGCCACACTGATCCAAGAATTATGTGCAGTTCTGCTCAGAGTGCTGTCATTATGGGAAATGCTGCTTAGAGCTAATAGAAGATATAACTGCACAACATCAAAGACTCTGTCGTGGGGAAAATAATTATTAGATCCTCTGCAGATTTTGAAACTTTGCCCACTTACAAAGAAATGAATGGTCTATAGCTTTTTAACATAGGTGTATTTTAAATAATAGAGAGAATATCAACCAAAAATCCAGAAAAAAACACATCAAACAAATGGTATAAATTAAGTTGCAGTTCAGTTAGTAAGATAAGTATTTGATCCCCAAGCAAAACATGACTTTGTACTTGGTGGAGAAACCCTTGTTGGCCAGCACAGAGGTAAAATGTTTCTTTTAGTTGGTTAACAGGTTTGCACACATCTCAGGATGGATTTTGGTCCACTCTTCTTTACAGATCTTCTCCCTTAAAGTTTCTTGGCTGTTTGGCAACTCGAAATTTCAGCTCCCTCCATAATTTTATATAGGATTAAAGTCTGGAGACCAGCTAGGCCACTCCATGACCTTAATGTGATTCTTCCTGATCCACTCCTTTGTTGCCTTGTCACTATGTTTTGGGTCATTGTCATGCTGGAAGACCCATCCACAACCCATCTTCAGTGTTCTGGCTGAGGGAAGAACGTTATCATGCAAAATTTTACAATGCATGACCCCGTCCATTAGCCCCTCAATGCGGCAAAGTCAACCTTTAGCAGAGAAACAGCCCCAAAGCATGTTTCTACCTTCACGCTTGACTGTAGGGATGGTGTTCTTAGGGTCATAGTCAGCATTTCTTTATTGTATATCTTGAGACACAGAGCAGGCTATTCATGGCTATGTGGGTTATATGCCACCTATAGGTGAATGGACCCTGGCCAACCAATCATATAAGGAAGGACTTCCTCTAACCGCTCCATCAAAGGAAGTACTTCAGTTTTTTTGCCAGTGTCTGTAAGGTGTGTGGTCACTGAAGTGTTGCATACGCTCTTGGAGCATACTTCAAGGTCCAGAATGGTTCCATTAGAGAATCAGGGACTTTAATCAGATCCATTCGGAAAGCAGTTAGCCAAAGTGGATTATACCCAAGCCTCACTGGATATGGAGAAGAATCCTTGAGGTTTTGCCTGTAATGCAGCCATATGGCACTGGACCCTGCATAATGGAACCCTGTGCAGTATAATTATGACCAAGGAGCTTTCCATCAGGGTGCTGTACAGGTCCAAAGCGGTGGCCCCACATTATGGGGGCCAAATCCTTGAAGGTCTGCATGACAAAGCCTGCCATGATAGGGGAAAGTTAGACTCCTGTTATGATTCAGAGTCCTGTGGCGGGAATGGTAAGTTTACCCTTTGCAGTATTTCTTTAAAAAAAATCTGAACATTCTCCAGGTCGTAGTGTGCTGCTTGGTCTGGCCAGGCCATGCTCTGTGTGTCTCTAAAGGAGTATTGGGGCTGTAGTTTCTCCTACAGCCACTACGGGTTATGAGGCCACTCTCTATAGCCTATTCATTGCAGTGGAGGCAGGAAGTAGATGGGTGGCCATTTTAGCTTGTGTTTGTTGTCCCATGTGGCTGGTGGTTTGCGAGACTCCTGAGAAGGAGTTACATAACCAGACAGGACATGATTATACACTGTATTAGTCTGCATATTCTCGGTGAGCTTGTACAACTGTTTTCTGATACACCCCTATTCAGGTATCAGTGCACTTATAGGAGTTGTTTTCCAAAATAGCTTGCATATGATCGACAGGAGCTTGCATATAGACTGCATTGAAGCAGCATAGAGGCTGCATTTGATGCATAGGTGCTTGGCTAGTGGTAGTGGACATGCATAAAGAGTGCGTAAACTGCATCCAGACATGCATACCTATTGCATAAGATGCATCCAGACATGCATACCTAGCGCATAAACTGCATCCAGACATGCATACCTAATGCATAAACTGAAAAGCTAGTATGGGGCCCAAGTGTAGTTGATTTTGACACAGTTTGATGAAACTATACGCATCAAAAAAGTGCAGCAGGGCAGGTCGAGCATAGTATTACATTATTGTATGCATACTTGCATAATTATTGGTTTTATACTTGCATAAACTGCATATGTACGTGCACAAATTGTATGCTTATACTTGCACAAACTGCATACTTATACATGCATGAAGTGCATTTTTATGCTTGCATTCATGTGATTGCATGAACTGCATTTTGGGGCTTGCATGAACTGCATATTTGAATGCTCAGCATACTTATATAAACTTCATAGTTCAGCAGGTCTGCAGGCTTGCATACCTGCATGATTAAGTAGCTGTAGACCATCATGGCTATGGACTGGAATCCCTGTGGGTCTGCATAATTAAGTTATGGCAAATATAGCAGATACACTATTTAGTTGTTATATGATTAAAAGGTCCCAGAAGGGGGAGGCAGGTGCACCACCCTTAGGTCCAGTGGGGGGTAATTTGGCGATGTTTACATAACTTGGTAGACCAGTGGGGTCAGGTGTATCTGGGCTACTGCGTTGGTCTGGCATTGCAGCTATTTCTGGTAAGTGGAGCTGCAATGGGCTGTGGCCGCATTATCCAGAAAGTACCCGATTGTCGTCTGAGCTTGGAAACTAAACGTTTCCCCTCCAGAGCCTGAGGCTGCTGTGTGTGGAGAAGTATCTCGGACATAGGATGCTAGGGTAGTCTCTGAGGTTATTCAAGTCACTCAACACAATCACAGGCCCAAACTCAAACAGGGAGATGAGATCTATCTTAAGATCTCAAGGTACTAGACCTAAGTCTAAATGTCTTTCTGTTTCCGATAGGGTCAGTCCGATTAATGATGGCCTCTCGCAAGAGTTAGATTTCGGGGGTCCATTGTCCTTAATGATGCATATCTTTGTGTGTGCTGATTTTTTCAGGCCCATCAAGATTTCTGCAATTTGCAGTAAAGAATCGTAATTTTCTATTTTGAGGCACTGCTCTTTGGGCTGGCCACAGCCCCCCAAGGGTTCACAAGGCTCCTAGTCCAGTGCAGGGTTTGCTAGGCTCACAGGGGCGTGTCAATATTAGAATACCTTGATGTTCCTGTGCTCAGGGAGCAGTCAGTTCCAACCTTTAAAGTGAGATATAAGAAGCAAAAAGGTATCCTTCAGTAGGTCTTTGCAGGAGGAAATGGTATCTACATTGAAGCAGGTTGCCGCAGTACGGTTCCACTCCAGGTCTTTTGTAAAGGAACATTCCATCTGTCTGGTTCATGAAGGTCCAAGCATTGGATTGCCGCAGAGCTTTGTCCCTGGGGTATTGCAGAGTCCAAATTGGTGGTTGGTTGTTTGGAATATGAAGAAGGGGTAATTTTCCTTCCAGTGATAGAAAAGATAGTAACCACTGATGCCAGTCTCTCCAATTGGGGGGCTGGTTTGGAGGTGGCTACAGTTCAGGAGACTTGATTTCCACAGAAGGTAAAACTGCCCATCAATATCTTGGAACTTGGGGTAGTACACTTTGCTCTGGATTATTGGACGAACCAGTTGCACAGGTTGTGGTCAGGGTTTGGTCTGACAATCCAAAAGCTCTGGCTTATATCAACCACCAGGGCAGCACCAAGGATCGTGCAATTCAGAAAAAAGTACACCACATTCTGTCTGGGGCATAACATCATGTGCCGTCTCTGTTGGCAGTACATATTCCAGGTATAGGAAACTGGCAGAGGGTTTTCCCTAGCCATAAGCGGCATTCTTGGCAATCTGCTGGTGTTAGGGAACTCTGGATATGGATCTACAGACTTCCAGGTTCTACAAAAAGTTAGACAGGTTGTGTCCAGGACAGGAGTCCCACTGACGGCCTAGCCCAGGAGGGCTTGATACACTGACATAATGTGTCTGGCAGGGGACGCGCCTTGGACACTTCAGGTCCACCCAGACCTATTGTTTTGGGTCCAATAACGTATCCTGCTTTACGATAGCTAGGATTGAAGGCTGGGCTATTGAAGCCCAGGTCTGCAAGGATCTGGGGGGTCATGGTTCCTGTTTTTTTTTTGTCTTCCAGTTGAGCACCAGGAAGCCGGCTTCAGGGAGCTTCCATTACAGGACCAATAAATCCTATTTGCCTGGTGTGAAGCCTTTTCATTTTTCCTATCAGGAGGGGAAATGAAATTGACCTTAGGTGCCATTTAGGGTCAGATTTCAGCCCTATCCATTTTTTTTCCCCAGAGATCATGGTTTCTCACTCTTTGATTTGTACTTCATACAGGATGTAACACGGGTGGTCCTGTTTGTCAGGCCACCGGGGTGTCCTTGGGACCTGATCTTGGCTGTTCTTGCAGAGGCCACCTTTTGAGCTAATTAAAGAAATGTAATGTTTTGCATGGAATGTGGCTTCTTTGATTACTGTCATTTCAGCAAGAAGAGTGTAAGCTGGTGGCTCTTTCACGTAGGAAGCCATTCTTGGTCTTGCAAAATGATGAGGTGATGTTGCGTCCTCATCCATCTTCTTGCCTAGAATAGTTTTTAGTTTTCACTTAAATCAGGACAGTGTCTTGCCCTTCTTATTTTCCTAGTCCAGTCGGAAGGGGAAAGATCACTGTATACTCTGAATGTACTTTGGAAGTCAGGATTTACTTGGAGTTTGGCAGCACAGGTCAGGATTCCTGGTTTGTTCTCCCAGAAGGGCCCAGGAGAGGCAGGTGGCTTCCAGGTTAACCATTTGTCATTGGATACACCAGTTAATCATTCAAGCCTATGGTTTGAAGGATAAGTTCCCAGCCTTTCGGGTGAGAGCACATACTAGCAGGAGTGTGGGGGGATCTTAGGCAATCCGCCATCATGCGTCAGTTCCTCAGGTTTGCAAGGCCACTACATGGGCTTCGGTCCACACATTCACAAGGTTTTACCAGGTGGATGTCAGAGCCGCAGAGGATTCTGCCTTTGGCTGCAGCATCTTGCGAACGGCTGAGTAGGTCTTGTGGGATTGTTGGTGGTAGCTATCATGGTGTCACCCTCCCCTCAAAATTCTTTATTGCTTTGGGACATCCCACATAGTCATGAATAGCCTGCTCTGTGTCCCAAGATGTACGATAAAGAAAACTGGATTTATTCTACATACTTACCTGAAAAATGCATTTCTTGGAGTACATCATGGGACACAGAGGTCCATCCCCTCTTTCTGGAATTTCATTGCTTGCTTCAAAAACTGAAGTACTTCCTGTGTAGGAGGGGTTATATAGAGGAGGACTTCCTCTCTGATCAGTTGGCCAGTGTCTATTCACCTATAGGTGGCATATAATCCACAGTCATGAATAGCCTGCTCTGTGTCCCATGATATACTCCAAGAAATGGATTTTACAAGTAAGTATGCATGAAAAATCCACTTTTTTCTTCCTCCAAACATGGTGAGTCGAGTTAATGCCACAGAGCTCATTTTGGGTCTCATCTGACCACAGTGCTTTCTCTCAATCCTTCTCTGAGTCATTTAGATGTTCAATGGCAAACTTCAGACGGGTCTGTACATGTGTCTTCTTCAGGAGAGGGATCTTGCAGATGCTGCAAGATTTCAATTCATGGCGGCGTATTGTGTTACCAATGGTTTGTTTGGGGACCCTGGTCCCAACTGCCTTGAGATCATTCACAAATTTCTCCCATGTAGTTCTGGGCTGATCCCTCACTTTTTTCATGATCCTCCTTACCCCATGAGGCGAAATCTTGCATGGAGCTTCAGACCGAGGGCAATCGAGGGTTATTTTCTATTTCTTCCATTTGCGAATAATCGCTCCAACAGTTGTTTCCTTCTAACCAAGCTACTTGCTGATGGTCTTGCAGGTCTACAATCTTGTCCCTGACATCCTTTGACAGCTCTTTGGTCTTGCCCATGGTTGTGAGGTTTGAATGGAAGAAAGAGATTCTGTGGACAGATGTCTTTTATACATATGATCAGTTGTCATTAGGAGAACCTTCTTAAATTGACAGGACTAATCTGTGTACCACATGAGCCCATAGCCTGTCTGTGGGAGCCAGAATTAATGTTGGTTGTAGGGTGTCAAATACTTATTTTACTCACTGAACTGCAACTCAATTTATAACATTTGTTTGATGTGTTTTTTTTCTGGATTTTTGGTTGATATTCTGTCTAACATTTAAAATACACCTATGATAAAAATGATAGACCCTTCATTTCTTTGTAAGTGGGCAAACTTACAAAATCTGCAGGGTATCTAATAATTATCTTACCCACTCTATAGCAGGCATCCCTAAATGGTGGACCATGACCTGGACCAAAACCGATTGACAGTCCTTTCCAGAGTGCCATGGCTGTACCATTCCGCAGCCTGTGTTTTTCTCCTGTGATCTGATGTAAGAGAGGCTGGGGACTGCTATGTGGTGGGGAACTGAGGACACTGATGTAAAGGATGGGGGGCTGTGATTTGAAGATCCTAAGTCATAGCACAAACATGAAACTTGGACCTGGAAGAAAATTTTACTGACCAAGCCCACACAAATTTTAATTCAATATATCTGCTCTTTATTATGCTGAATGGCTCATGTAAAGCAGAGTAGAGAGGGAAAGCAAGGAGAATAAACCCTCTTTTCAATTTATTCTGTGAGCAAAGTTTTTTGAGTTTCAAACTTGTGCACATGTACCTGGGATCTAGAGCCATGGGAATACCATAAGGATGTAGTTTTCTCTCTGTAGGGTACAGTGGAGGTATGTCATGTCTCTGAGACAAATAGTATGCAGTGGGGTTCTACCTAAAAAGCACATATACTCTAACAAACTAAATTCTGCAGAGGAGGAGAGTAGCTCAATAGCTGGTGTGCTTGTTTCACAGAAGGGCTCTGACAGACCAAACAAAATTATCTTTATTGAACATGTCCATGCAATCCCTGTAATTTGTTTCTTCGTATGTACTGATGACATTGTTGTATGTGACTCATACTTTACATTTACACGTGGTATCTGGTAAAAATAAAGAAATATAAAACAGAAAAAAAAGGACTCAGACAGGCAAATAGAACATCACTGGAGCACTTTGAAGGTCATGATCAGTGAGTGTGAGGCAGGTTTCAAGAGGACCTATCACTTTGACCTAAATGGGACATTTTCACAAACAGAAACTCTATAGTTCCACTGTTGCAGTAATTTTAGATCTAAGATGCTGTTTTGTGTTTTCAGGACCTACCTCTTGTTCCATGCAGACTACACACTCAGAGTTGCTGTTGGCCACATCAGGTAAGAGGTCAGGGGGCGCTGTTGGGCTCAGTTCGCTGGCAGCTGGACTGCTGGGCTCTGGTTGACTAGGTGACAATTTGTTCACTTCTGCTTTCATCAGAAAACAGCTCATATTAAAAATAAGTATAATATACAGAGAAGAAGTAAAGAAATAACTGCAATATGTGTATTTCAGAACAAAATCAGATGGTTAACAGGTATCAAAAATGGATTCACTTTAAAGTGTACTTATTATTTGCCTATGTAGTGCAAAGTAAAAAAGTTCCCTTAGCTGTCCCGTTCTCTGGCAGCACACACTTGGCTTTCACTTGGTCCCCTGGGTGAGCAGGTGACCAAAACCCTCTCTTTCACATTTTGCAATCTATTAAAGCAATCCAATAGAGAACATACAAAGGTCTGAACAATGATCAGTTATAAAAGTGATCCACTGGAGAATATACAAAGGTCTGAGCAATGACCAGATATAAGGCTCCATGCACACTAGCATTTTTGTAAGCTCCAAGAAGCTAAATAGTGTTATCCTATTGCTAATACCATTTTTGAGCTTGAGCGTCTAGGAGCAAAAAAAAAAAATGTTATAAATGATCAAGTAAAAAACTGACAAAAAAGTCTATGAAGTGAGCCTACCAGATGGTTAGGATTTAAATATAGATTGTGTCTGGTAAACTGCTTTACCTATAGGCAACACAGGCTTAGTTTTGACCATAATTACACTGCTTCATGTTTATCGGAAATAAGACATTACCCTTTCTGTGTCTGCGAATCTCTTTGGCTCGTTCAATGATGGATATCTGCAGGCCAACTTCATCCACTCCAATCTGCAATCAAAGAGAAAGTATAGTGTTTCTATATGATGTCCTTTTTTTTAAAGGAGTCAGAGAGGGCACAGCTGACCCGTGGTAGGCTGACATGGGGAGGTCCAGGAAAAAAAAAAATATATATACACACACAGTGAAGGAAATAAGTATTTGATCCCCTGCTGATTTTGAATGTTTGCCCACTCACAAAGAAATGATCAGTCTGAAAATCGAATGGTAGGTGTATTGTAACACTGAGAGACAGAATAGCAACAAAAAATTCAAAAGAAATGCATGTCTAACAAATGATGCACTGATTTGCATGTTCATGAGGGAAATAAGTATTTGATCCCCTTCACAAAACATGACTTAGTACTTGGTGGCAAATCCCTTGTTTGCAATCACAGAGGTCAGACGTTTCCTGTAGTTGGCCACCAGGTTTGCACACATCTCAGGAGGGATTTTGACCCACTCCTCTTGACAGATCCTTTCCAAGTCATTAAGGTTTGGTGGCTGATGTTTGGCAACTAGAACTTTCAGCTCCCTCCACAGATTTTGAATCAGATTAAGGTCTGGGGATTGGCTAGGCCACTCTAGGACCTTAATGTGCTTCTTCTTGAGCCACTCCTTTGTTTCCTTGGCCGTGTGTTTTGGGCCATTGTCATGCTGGAACACCTATCCACGACCCATTTTCAATGCCCTGGCTGAGGGAAGAAGGTTCTCACCCAAGATTTGACGCTACAATGCACTGTTAATTGTCCCTTTGATGCGGTGCAGTTGTCCTGTCCCCTTAGCAGAAAAACACCGCCAAACCAGAATGTTTCCATCACCATGTTTGACAGTTCGGATGGTGTACTTGGGGTCATAGGCAACATTCCTCCTCCTCCAAACACGGCGAGTTGAGTTGATGCCAAACAGCTCGATTTTGGTCTCATCTGACAACAACACTTTCAACCAGTCCTCCTCTGCATCATTCAGATGTTCAGTGGCAAACTTCAGATGGGCCTGGACATGTGCTTTCTTGAGCAGAGGGACCTTTCAGGCACTGCAGGATTTCAATCCTTGTCGGCGTAGTGTGTTTCCAATTGTTTTCTTGGTGACTGTGGTCCCAGCTGCCTGGAGATCATTGACAAGATCCTCACGTGTAGTTCAGGGATGATTCCTCACTGTTCTCATGATCATTGACACTCCACGAGGTGAGATCTTGTATAGTGCACCAGACCTAGGGAGACTGACAGTTGTTTTGTGTTTCTTCCATTTGCGAATGATTGCACCAACTGTTGTCACCTTCTCATCAAGCTGCTTGGCGATAGTTTGTTAGCCCAGTCCAGCCTTGTGTAGGTCTACAATCTTGTCCCTGACATCCTTGGACAGCTCTTTGGTCTTTGCCATGGTGGAGAGTTTGGAATCTGATTGTTTGATTTCTCCTGTGGACAGGTGTCTTTTATACAAGTAACAAAATGAGATTAGCAGCACTCCCTTTAAGAGACTGCTTCTAATTTCAGCTTGTTACCTGTATGAAAGACACCTGGTAGCCAGAAATCCCGCTGAATGATAGGGGATCAAATACTTGTTTCCTCATGAACATGCAAATCAGTGCATCATTTGTTAGACATGCATTTCTTTTGAAATTTTTTGTTGCTATTCTGTCTCTCAGTGTTACAATACACCTACCATTTGATTTTTAGACTGATCATTTCTTTGTGAGTGGATAAACATTCAAAATCAGCAGGGGATCAAATACTTATTTCCTTCAATATATATATATATATATATATATATTTTTTTTTTTTTCCTGGACCTCCCCCCATGTCAGCCTACCACGGGTCAGCTCTGCCCTCTCTGACTCCTCCAGGTCAACCTAGCCCGTAAGAGCAGCTGTCTCTCCTCACTCAGTGTTCTTTTTTCGTCCTCGCTACAGACACCTTGAAAAAAAAAAAAAAAAAGAAAATCTCTCTCCTATGGCCTTCTCAGGTTCAGCCTCTCTTGGGTAAGAAGACCCCTTGTTTGGGCTGTAAACCTCCCTGTGCAGTGGGTTCCATTGGTGCGGGGATTGTTATGCATGCAGTATAAATTACTGCGCGTTCATTATGTCACCCTACAGCAGTTACTGTTGGGAAGGCAGGGTGATTTACCTGTGCATAGATTGGCTGGCTTGTAGTCCCATATCTCAGTATGTCTTTGGGCTGGCAGGCACGTGTAGTTCCATATCTCAGCATGTCTTTAGGCTGGCACTTGTAGCTCATATCTCAGCAGGTCTGTGGGCAAGCTGGCACTTGTAGTCCCATATCTCAGCAGGTCTGTGGGCTGGCTGGCACTTGTAGTCCCATATCTCAGCAGGTCTGTGGGCTGGCTGGCACTTGTAGTCCCATATCTCAGCAGGTCTGTGGGCTGGCTGGCATCTGGGGTCTGCCTGGGACTGGTAATCCATACATCATGGCGGCAGAGTTTGTTCCAGCTACAGAACAGGCGGCAGGCGCTGAACTTCCCGGGTTGCCATGGAGTTGCCAGGATGCTCTGTGACACAGGAAGCTACCGCGTTATTTAGAGGCTGGTTTTCTCTCTCTTGTGTTGCAGCTCTGTGATTACTGCAGAAGCTGCTGTGTCTCTGAGCTCCACTTGTTTACCTAATCACTCTGCTGCTCCAGCCTGGGTCCTTCTGCTGCTCTGCTCCCTGTAGGTCACCTGAGGTATTATTCTTGGATGCATGCACATGTACTATGACTCTGAGATGTTGGTTAGGTTATATCCCCCCTTAGGCTGTTGCTAAAAACTCCAGCTTCAAGCACTGTTGGTCTAATGGAGAGGTATTTTTTAATTTTTATTTGTAATTTATTTTATTTTAGTCATTCATTTTTTCTTCTCTTTCCTTGCTTTCTGGAATTATCAATTTTATTTTATTTTTTTGCTACTTTTTAAGAGTGCTATCTGTGTACCTTTTTGGCAGAAAAAAAAAGACTCCAGCGCAGAATAAAGCATCTACCAAGGGACGTCCAAAGCACTCCTGTCATCCAGGACAAGTTGCTTCACCAAAACAATCCAGGGTGGATTAAACATCCACCAAGTGGCTGTTCTAGGACACCGTCACCAGTGGGCCATATGGGCATAGGAAATGGGACAAAGAAAGTCTCGTCACCAAAACGCCTCCAAGAAGAGTAAATCCTCCGGCCAGCACAGAAAAAGGTCTTCTACCTCTTCCACAGGCTCTTCTCTACCCCACCCTGAAGTGGTGGCTTGTTGGGGTTGTTCAGCTGAGGCATTGCTGGGCAAATTAGTGTACACATCCTATATTGGGGGGAGGCATGTGACAAAGCTGCAGACACACAGCAAGTAAAATTGTACATTAGAGACACAGCAAAAAGAGTTCTCCACCCAAAACACAGAAAGAATACTACCAAGATTACAAAAAAAAAAAAGATTCTTTCCTTTTGATATTTGAAATCCAAGAGCCTATTATGGATAAATGGGCAAAAAACCAAAAGATTACATTTGGTGGCTAATATCGGCATCTCTGGAGGCTGGTTACCTTATCCGGATGCATGACACCTGGTGGTTGCTGCCCTGATGACTTCAACCGTCTGCAGTGTTCCAGATCCTGAGAACCAGGAGTAGGTCTTATATACTCCATGCGCAAGCGATTGTGCTATCTGGTTAGTGCAATCTATATCCATTTCCATTATCACAGGAGTCACAGATATTTTTCATCACAAGTTTATTGACTTTATCACACTTGTCACTTTATACATCCCATCTCATTGGGATTCAGCGCCTTATATGGTATTTAAGACTTTGGTTTATGTGATTGCTATTTTAGGTTTTATTAGCGTTGCATAGTTTATACATACAACATGCTGCTTTTTCCTGACCTCTCTAGATGCACCCTCACGATGCGACGAGCCTTGGGCCCTGTGGTTCTTCACAAGGAGGGGGGGGGGTATCGATGGGGCTTCCCCTTTCGCCGTACCACACGAAGGCATGGGAAATCTGCTACCCTAAACAACAAGGATGACCTGCCTAAATTTCTTGAGACTCTGGAACTGCCACAGGTCGACTTCCAGGACTGGCGCCACACCATTGAAGTGTTCATCCCCCCGGGCCTAGTAAGCTGGCAACCGACACCCCAGCGCTCATGACAGCGCCAACGGAGGGGGGCTTCTTCGGACTCTCCTAGACAAGATCCTTGAGGGTCTCCTGGTCCTGACATCGGACACTCCTGGATGCCATATTAGAGCTTTATAGTTTGTTTTTATCCCACAGCGTCCCTCCCCAAATGACTCTACTATGGCCCTTCTCTAGTAGTAATGACAGAGCTGGTTTTGTGTCAGATTTTGCAGACCTTCCTGCTTTTTTTTCTCCATTTTTTTTTTATTTTTGTTACTTTTGGTCCTAGGTGAAGCCCTATACGCCAACCCAGAGGCTCGAGTTAAGGTGAATGCGACTTACCGCTGAGTATATGCAACGGTACCAGACATGGATGCCCACTGTCCCCTCTTTTGTTCGCTCTGGTGCTGGAACCGCTCCTACAGAAAATTCAGAGCAATTAAGATATTAAAAGGGGTCTCTATTGGGTCTGGGGTTCATAAACTATCGGCGTATGCCGATGATATTCTGTTCTATATAACCCAGCCACTTCCCACCTTAATGGTGTTGATGTCGGAGTTTCGCAGATATGGTTCTCTTTTGAATTTTAGTATTAACTATGAGAAGTCGGAGATAATACTGGTCATAATCCCCCCTGATCTTATCCATTTACACAAGACTAATTTCCAGTTTACATGGCAATCGAAAACGTTTCCCTATTTAGGCACTCAGATCTCATCAGACCCCAAATTACTGTACTCTGCAAATTATGGAGTGCTGCTGCAGGGGGAGGAGAGAGATCTGGGAACCTGGCATAACACTGCCCTCACGTGGATGGGTCGAATTAATACTTTTAAAATGACAATCCTGCCAAACATTTTGTACCTGCTCTCCACGATCCCAATACACCTGCCACCTATATTTTTTCATTGTTTACGCCGGTTATTTACAACCTTCATTTGGCAGGGGAAGCGACCCAGGTTGGCGTACTCACTTCTCCACCAACGCAAAGAAGATGGGGGCCTTGGAGTGCCTCATAATTCCCTCTACTATTAAGCTGTGGCTTTGGTCCGCATATTGAATTGATCACTCAAAAGAAAAAAATCTGGGTTAACCTTGAAAAATCTATTGCTTGTAGGAATTTGGCGGGGGTCCCTTGGGTATCGCATACGGTCTGTGGACTGTCCAGCTGGACCAGCCCGGTTATACTGATCACTCTGAAGGTCTGGATCAAGGCAATAGGACGCGTACTCTTCCCCCCCCCCCCCAACCTCGCCCCTTGCTCCGTTGGGGGGATTTCCTTGGTTTCCACCTGGGGAGGATGTCTGCTTTTTTAACGCCTGGGGCAGGGAAGGGAATATTACATGTATGAATTGGCCCCAATGGGTCGTTATACTGCCTATAGACAGACTAAGAAGGTCCTTCGGGTCATTTCCCATAAACGTTTGGCATTATAGACAGCTATATGACTTTTTCCAGAAATTACTCCCTAACGTACGTTTCTCCTTAACGCCTTTCGAATCTCTGTGCCTGTACCTTGGGGAACCGAAACATTTAATCTCTCAAATGTACAGGGGTCTACTCTCCATTTTCTCCCAGACAACTCCATACTATGTTAGGGAATGGCAATTGCAGTTAGATCTTGAGTTTACTCCCCACCAATTACAGAAAATAATCAAATTATCACGTCTCCTCTATCAGCTCTAAAATGCAGGAGTCGTGCTAATAACTCTTATCTCGATGGTAGAACAGAGAACATTCTGGCGAACCAGAGTCAGAGTTCTGTAGATCACAGCGAATGGGGCCTCAATTTGAAATTCTTGCAGAAAATCCCTCTAATTCTAAGTGTTCTCCTGAAGATACAACGTGAAGAGGGGGCCTGCTCTTTTGGCCGAGCTGGCCTTGGTTTCCCCTTGTATAAAGGATGAGGCTAGAACAACCAATTCCACTCCCAGTTTGTTTGGGTCTCCTGATTCAGAACGAGGTGTTTTTTCTAATTTCTGCAAGCTAGGAAAAAGTCAACTATTTCAACCTTCCATCAGGTATGGAAAGCCTTTTTTGGGGCTCTCTTCTGGCAAAAGTTGGAATGCTTGAACTCCCTCGGTATCGAATGTTCTTAAATTCCTGCAAAATGGTTTAAAAGCGGCCTGGCTTATAATTAGTTGCAAATTCAAGTTTCAGTCCTCTTGGCCATGGCCAAGTAAAAAATGGGCCTTTAACCCTTTGGTCATTAATTTTTCTGAAGGCAGCAATGAAGATTAGATCACTAGTGGGAATTTGTCACTTGGCTTGAATGCCTTGCTGGCACCACCATTTTACCCTATAACTTTGTGCTCTTTATTCCATTTGGCTCTGAGGACATATTTCCTGATGGCAATTGCTACCACAAGTAGATTATCTGACATGTATGCCTTTTTAGCTAGAGAGCCAAACTGCTGGATCCTCATTCTGAGACAGGTCCCAAATTCTTCCAAAAAGTTTCAACTTCATTCCATATAGGTTGGGAGTCTGTACGTTCACTTTTTCTGGAAGATGGGTGGAAGAAGTTAGATCTGGTTCATTCACTTTCAGTATATCTGAAATGCACGGAGGACATCCGTGAACAAGATAGTCTTTATACCTTCCCTCCAGGTCCAAGGAAGAGCTTCACAGTACTACCCAAGGTCATGTCTTCGTGGATTGTCAAGACCATTCAGATTGCCTACAAAGTCCTAGGCTTGCCGCCACCTTTGGAAGTGAGAGCTAATTCAAAAAGAAGCATCTCAATCTCATGGGCAGCATAGGCTAATTTAGTCAGCAAAGGTGGTTTGCAGGGCAGCAAGCTGGAGCACAGCAAATGCATTTATTTGCCACCACAGAATGAGTAGGACTTTTCCAACGGTGCAGTCTTTTTTTGATCTACAGTCATTGCAGTGGTTGTCAGTAATAGAGGTTTATATGCAGCATTCAGTTTGTTTGTGTCTTGGTTTTTCCACTCCCTTTGTTCCTTTTAGCATTGGTTGGTACATCCCATGGTGGGCTGACAAGGGGAGGTCCAGGAATAGAGAAAATTGTATTCCTTACTTACCGTAATTTTCCTTTCCTGGATCCTCCCCATGTCAGCTGGGGATTCCCACTCAGTCTCCGTAGCGAGGAGTATTATGTTGAACGCTGAGTGAGGGGAGACAGCCACTTTTATGGGCTAGGAAAGAGGTTGTCCTGGAGGGGTCAGAGAGGGCAAAGCTGACCTGTGGTAGGCTGACATGGGGAGGATCCAGGAAAGGAAAATTACTATAAGTAAAGGGAATACAATTTTCCCTAATATATATGTATATACACACATATATATATATATATATATATATATATACATATATACACACATATACACACTATATTGCCAAAAGTATCGGGACACCAATACCCCAATTCATAATTCATCCCAAAGGTGTTCTATTGGGTTGAGGTCAGGACTCTGTGCAGGCCAGTCAAGTTCCTCCAATCCAAACTCACTCATCCAAGTCTTTATGGACCTTGCTTTGTGTACTGATGCGCAATCATTTTGGAACAGGAAGGGGCCATCCCAAACTGTTCCCACAAAGTTGGGAGCATGAACTTGTCCAAAATGTCTTGATATGCTGACACCTTAAGAGTTGCCTTCACTGGAACTAAGGGGCCAAGCTCAACCCCTGAAAAAAAAACCCACACCATAATCCCTCAATATATATATTGAAATATATTTTTAAATATATTGAATATGGCCAAAATTGTAGTATTTCATATATATGTCAATATATTTGGGAATAATATTTTTAAAATACATTTAAAATATATTTTTCTTCCATGTTTGGAGACTACTGCTCTACACCAATCCAAAAAAGAAAAAAAAAAGTCTAGCTAAAGTTTCACTTCATTACCAATAGAGATGTCCGGTAGAATTTTTGCTGCCCTAAATGTGCTTACCTTCTTGAGGTCAGCAGGAACCATCTTCTCCAACATTTCCAAGGAGAAACGATGATGAGCAAATATGGGAAGATACTTCTCTGCAGAAAGCTCTCTCAGAAGATTCACCAGTTCCTCTTCAAGACCTTCTTCCTGTAAAACAACCACAGGATTCTTAAGCAGGGTATACACTTTGAGTTTTTTTTTTTCTTTCAACAAGCAGGTTGAATGAAAAAAAAAAAAAAAAATCTTCACAGATCCCCACATCAACATAGGCTATTGTATTCTGACAGTGGGGACACCCCCACAACTTGCCAGAATACACAGATCAGCGCTGCAGCCAGTTGCTGCATGCACTGATTGACTACTAGTTTTCTAGTATGAATGGTCGTTAGACCAGCGTCTGTTGAATAGACAGTGGTATACACAACTTCAGTTTCAAGGCTCACTGGAAAAAGATGCGTTGGGTACAAAAAGACAACCTACCTGGAGTCTGAGGGACAGAGGCTTCTGGTTCAATAATCGCTGATATTGAATCAACCAGTAGTTCTCTTGCCTGGCTTCACTCTTTGCATCCATCTCCAGCTAAGTGAAGGCAAAAACAGACTTCAGAGAGGGGAAAGTCACATGAAACATTAAAAAGTACAAGTCCAGCTTTCTCATGTCCTTCTACCCCATCCCTCACCAACCTCTACTTACAAAAATATTAGATGCAGACCTTTTTTCTTTTCCAATGGTCTTCTAGCCAGCCTGATGGCATTACCGGTCATTCCTCATCTACTCCAGTGGCAGTGGTGGGAAGCCCTTACTGCTGCACTGAACTGCCCTTAAGTAATGACGTGTGAGCGACATTTAGTGTAGTAGTACAGTGAGCCCCATGCTGCCGTTATATTACCACCCCAGAGGATGGATCCAGGATAGCATGGGCTGAAAAAAAGGGAGGGTTGCATGACTCCGGCTATCATTCAATCTGGAAGGCTGAGGACATTCAGTGGCGAAAATTAAAGGACTGCAGGGAACAGCTCCCAATAGAATTTACATATTGCAGCAAAAGCTGCTTTTTCATTCTTTTTATTTAATTGTCATGCTTTTTATTTCTTTTTAACTGAAATGCATAACTAAGCAAGCTGAACTACATATATGCATGCATATGAATATAAACGGACTGCAGTTCTAAATAAATATATATATATATCGATATCTATATATATATATATATATATATATATATATATATATATATATATATATATATATATATATGCTATGACAGCTTAAAAACTATTGGAACTATATGGACTTACTTTGTGTCCTTTTCTAATTGACAGATTTTCCCCACTTTCGATTTTGCATTTTAATAACATTTATTTTTTGTGTAAAGGCTTTATATTTTTTTAGTTAAACCACAAGCAGGTTTTTCACTAGGTTTTCTTCCTCTGGGGTGTGTAAAACATGTGACCACCACACTTTCTTATCTTATCCCTTCTTGAGCAAAGCATTGCTTCTGGGTCCATGCACACTTGGTAACTATAAACTTAAAGCAAATGTGAATTGTTGCCAGACTCAAAAAAGGCACATGTGCAATGGCACATGACACACCATAAAAAAGATAGGTAGTTTCTAACAAAATTTTAGAAAATGAAAAATTGGACACTGGAAAATAGAGATAAAATAGGAATTTTTACTCACCTGTAAATTCCTAATCTTGGAGTGCAAAACAGGACTTATATTCATAGACCATGGGTTATATGCTGATGATTGGACACTGGCAAAGAACCTGCTATAGCTGTCTCTAGTGCACATTCATAACTTCGCTCACTCTAAGAGACTCCAGGGTTTTTTTTTAGCGAGCAGTAAGAAGTAATCGAGAGAGAGGAGAGGAGCCTGTTTCCTGTACAGTACACTAAGATAAGGAGTGTACAGGTAAGTCAAAATTCCTATTATCTTATTTGTACAGTACATGACACAGGCCTTGTAATTAAAGACCATGGGATGTCCCCAAGCAATAAACTGATGAGTGGGAGACAACATAGCAGAACAGAACTGCCAATGGGACCACAAAAAAACGCAAGGGTTAAAGAGCCAGATAACATTCCACTTCCAGAACATAACTGCCAATGGTTCCGCAAAAAAACACAAGGGTTAAAGAACCAGAAAACATTCCAATAACTGTGTATAGCACCTTGAGACCAAAGGCCTGAGGCCTGAATATTCACTTGGAAGAACATAGAGAATGTATGAATGGAGGACCAGGTGGCGGCCTTGGAAATCTAGGAGACAGATGTTTGATGTTGAAAATACCAAAACACACCAACAGCCCTGGTAGAATGAGCTCTGATAGGGAGGGGAGGAACCCCTTTCCTTAAGGGCATAGGACCTAGAAAGAAGCTGTCTGATCCACCTGGCAATGGTGGATCAGCAAGCAGGTTGTCTTCTATGAGAACCTCCAGGTAGAACAAAGAGGAACTTAGTCTTGCAATCATAGCCCATGTCTGCCAAGTAGACTTTGACAGTCCTGACCACAGTCAGACAGTGTAAAGCAATTTCCTTGTCATGACAGAGGAAACAAGCATCATGGTCCTCAATGAGGTGGAAAGAAAAGACCACCTTATGTAAAAAAAAAAAAAAAAAAAAAAAAAAAAAAAAAGGTTTTCGTCTCAAAATGAGAAAAGGCTCATTACAAGAAAGAGCTGCCAAGTCAGAAACATGCCTAACAGACATAAAGGTGACCAGGAATGCACCGTACATATGATGTCTTCCAATGGATAAAGACAAAACTTGTCCCTTACGGAAACTCAAGGCCAGAACCAAACTGACTTACAGCCAAAATACCAGTGATAGTGAATTTCCTTGGGTTCAACCTTCTATCTTTGCACCAACAAAGTAATTTATCTACATAAATATTAAACTGTCACGTGCATGTGCATTTTCAACATAAAACTTATTTTAAAAATTACAAAATGAATATGGTCTATACACTCCAACCTAAAAAAAAATAAATCTACACAAATATAAAAGTGCATTTTCAGCATCAAAAATTATATATATATATATATATATATATATATATAGGAGTGCAATCCTCATATAATATATTATGCAAAATAAGTTCATATGACTATAGTCCCAAAAGAATAGAATCTTCTCAAGATCTTCTTTACTTCACCAACACAATGTGTTCCACCACCATATATACTAAATGGATTCACCACGGATTCACCAGAAGTCAGTGCTGTTAACATTATAAACCAGCCAACAACGTACTGCCCTCTGGGAGTAACAAACTGCAATCAAAATATTCTTAATTCACCACCACGCAGTGTGTACCACCTCCAAATGTGCTCAATATACTCAGCAGAGGTACATGCTTGCAACATGATAAACCAGCCAACAGAGCATTGCCCACTGGAAGGGACGATCTACAGTGCCCCAAAAAATTATTTTCTTAGAAGTCCTCAAGATTACCAAATGATCTACACCATCATATTATAGCAGGAAAAGAAAAAGGAAAAATCTTGCATAGTGTGAAATCCTTAAAACACTTTATTGTTAAAATCAGTCCAAAACACCACTCTACTGACACAAGTATAATATGTGTAATCATATACCCATGTTCACTCCAGCTGGAATCCCTAGCTGCGAACATGGACCTGATATGTGTCGTGACATCACATCCAAGACCCGCCCTACGCGTTTCATCATTCAACGTCCTCCAAATACACCACCCTCCAAATGCAATGTTGTGTGGAAAAAACCCATCAAATTCAAAATGGTAAATTTTACCTACTGCCAACGTGGTAGAGACATTCACAGATGAGGATAACATGCTAAATTAAATAGCTCCCCAAATATAAAAAGGAACAGGACAAAGTCCCAATTTCAGAGAAACAATGCCTTATCTTATCCATGCAGCAGGTTCCTGGAGGGGACAAAACTTCACCCGTTAGAGCAGGCCTACTATGGAAGCAGTCTTCAGGGTCTGGGTGCCATAGGAATGGACCACGGCTCTGAATCTTTATAGTATCCTGTGGCTAGCTACACTTGTTGCACCATGTGCCAAGGTAAGCATCAAACGCAAGATCTAGTGCCCAAGTCTTGATTGGAGGAGAAAAAAACACCAAATTTAAATTGCTCTTGCCAAAAAACATTACAGGACAAAAAAGGCAGGGGGGTACTACAATAAAGTGAAAAACTCCCAAATCCTCTGCCTGTAAAACTGCATAATGTGTTACACACTGTGGCTTGTGATATTAAAAGCCAGGAATTTGTGCTAATATACAGGGAAACCTGGTCTCTTACCTACCTTATCCACAACACTGGACCTATTAGCGGTCCAGAGGTCCAGGCTTCACCTGTCAGAATGGGTATACCCAAAAAGGGGTCTTCAGGGCCTGGGAATCATAGAAATGGGACATGGACCCTGACCTGTAAAGCATCCTGTGGCTAACTACACACGTTGCACTTTGTGCCAAGTTGAGTGTCTAACGCAGGGTCCAGTGCCCCAAGCAAACATTAGTGACCGGCCCCACACAGTTGGGTCTAGATACAGTCCTCACAACTGCTAGATAGCATAGAGCAAAAAGTAGTCAGATCATGACAGACGTGTCAGAGAAAAAAATTGAATGGTTTAAAGAGAAAAATACATTTCCAGAGGAGCACAGGTCCATCACCTAAGCAAACTAGCAAAGAAAAGCAGGAGTCTCATAGAGTGGGAAGGGTTATATGAGTGTGCACTAGGGGTGGCCCTAGCAAGCTTTTTGCCAGTGTTTATTCGCCTGAAGGTAGCCAGCATATAACCCGTGGTCTATAAGGACAAGTGCTGTATCCTGTACTATACAAATAAGACAGTAGAGTTTTGTTATACTGACAAGTGCCTCAAGGAAACAAATTTCCCAAAAATCACTAATCTGAATTCTGAAGTTGATCCTCTTTGTACATACCAGCACGGCCAACAATTCTTCTTCCCTCTGTTTCTTGTCCTTCAGTAACTGCTGCAGGAGTTCACTTAGGGCTCTCCGCTGGTCCGAAATGACCTCCTGAGAACATTGAGAACATTAATGAGAACATTGTCAGTTGATAGGGAACAGTCATCATGATAAGTGTCCAAGAAGTGGGCAATCTAAAGGGGATGAATTGGTTTCTTTAGGGGTAGATGACAACCGGGCTCCTGACACAGCGATTACTACATAGATAATGATCCTTGTGTATGAAAAGAGTTTTAAATAAGCAAGTGTCCATGTTACCTCTTCAAATGAGGTAGCTAGAACACTTTGCTAAACCTTTCATACAAAAGATGATTTCTAAAAGTTTCCAGTGCCAACAGCAAATACAAGGGTGGCGATGGAGGGGTATGATCTATGGAAAGGGATGAGCAAAGCCTGGATATTTCTTGCTGAACTGGAAGTAATGGTGCAACAAATAAAAAAATAGCAATGAAATAATCCTTTACTTTCCTAAATCCCTTACAATGGATATTATTGTATGTGTGCAAAATGAACCGAGCTGGTCTAAAGATGGATTAAAGGGGCTAGCCATGATTTATACACATGTTTTAACTCCTCACAGTATAGAAAGGAAGAACTTCACACTGTGATTGGGTTTAACATTCCTTTCAGAAACTTTAGTCAGCCAGATGTGGTCATTAAAGGCTGTCCTGAGTAGGTATACACAAGGATAATTCATGTCCCTTACACACATCTTCTTCCCAGTGACTAGGAGCTGAAATCTGATTTTTATCTAGAGTGCCAACTGTGGAAGAAACCTGATATTAAAGGCCATAATTTAAAAAATAACAGTAGTTTACGTACAGATAAGGGTGCATGAAGGAGAGAGACACTCTGGGGTGGATTTGCTAAAGGCAAATAGACTGTGCAGTTTGCAAGTGCAGTTGCACTAATTTTCCCCAGAACATAGTGAATGTGGTGAAACTCTACTGGTTTCCATCATTCAATCGTGCAAACAAAAAAGCTTTTTTTATTTTATTTTTTAAAATTTTCCCTGCACCTGACTGAGTATTTCTTACAAAATGAAGCTCGGTGGAAGACGAGTACAACTGCACTTGCAAAGTGCACAGTCTATTTGCCTTTAGTAAATCAACCCCTCTGTGTTCGTTTTTGAAAAAATCCTAAATCTGACTTGTAATCCTAAGTGGAACTTTCCTTAAATCAAATACTCCTTAGAGGTATTTGAGATTTGTTTTGAACATGGTTGCACACAGGCCACAGGAATGGATGACACCACCAGTGAATGCAGAATGTTCATACATTTCACAAACCTTCTGTTACAGCTTTGTAAGGTGAATTTTAAAACATGCCAGAACTACTAAATCCAGACACAAAACATTAAACACAGATACAAAAGACATTTCTAAGGGTTAAATAACAAGACACAAATTCAGCACAAACAGATTTGTTGGACAGGAAGGAGACCAACATTTTTAGGGAAATAAACAATATTGATAGGCTGCATTCTCAGTGATGTCACTGGTCTGTAGTGATTGGACAGGTTGCATTAACAGTGATGTTACCAGTCTCTAGTGAATGGATAGAGTGCATTGTCAGTGATGTTACCAGTCTCTAGTGAATGGATAGAGTGCATTTTCAGTGATGTCACCAGTCTCTAGTGAATGGATAGAGTGCATTTTCAGTGATGTCACCAGTCTCTATTGAATGTAGAGGTTACTTCTAAGTGATGTTGACAATCTGTAGTGAATGAATAGGTTGTATTCTAAGGGATATCACCATTCCTTCGCAAATATAAAGGCTTTTCTCAGTGATGTCATGGGTCTCTAGTGAATTGATAGGCTGCATTTGTAGTATTGTCATCAGTCTCTAGTGAATGTATAGCCTGCTTTCTCAGTGATGTCACAGTCTTTAGGGAATGGATAGGCTGCATTTTCAGTGAGATCACTGGTGCATAGCAAATGATAGGCTGCATTCTCACACCAGAGATAAAATGTAATTGAGGTTTACACACCGCTAAATTAATCTTTGTCATGGTTTCCCAAAAACAATCATAGACAGAGCCCAATGCTCATAGGTAGCAGAGAATTAACACGCCAGAACAGGAGCATGCATAAGACACAAAAAAACAGATGCACAAAACAAAACAAGTAGACAGACTGTTGACGAAATAAAACAAGAAAAAAAACCCTTTTATTAGTGGACAAATATTCTTGGATGAGAATTTTGAACAGATGGTTTGTGCAACATGAATCTTTAGAAGAGATTTTAACAATGATGGTTACTTGTATGTAATGATTCCACTGGTTCCTTATTCATCCAATCAAAAAGTACGTCACTGTCACATGTACAGGACCGGCAGCCAATCTGTGCACTTAACCAGTAGTTTATTTACCAATTAACTAGCAGCAGCACCACAATGGTACAAAAATAAATATTGGCTCAAAAACAAAATGGAAGATTTCAAGTGTCCCTGCAAAACCTTTGAGGACTTATGTCACTGATATAACCTCTCCTGATTGGTGATTAAAGTAGTTGTCTAGAACAGTCATAATCTCTGTTTACTGATTCATAAAAGGTGATTTATTCAAAGAATTACAACCTAAACTAAAGAGCCCATGGCTGTTTGATGTCCATATCCAACTCTGAAACCAACCGTGCTAAGAGAGACAAGAGGAAATGCTGCCATTGTTAGGAGCTGAACTACGGCAACACCTCCCTAAAGCCAGCCCTACATGGATCCAAATTCAGCCGGTTCAGCAGGGAGCGGCCAAATTTCGATCCATGTATGGGCAGGGTGTGTGTACAGAAGTTGATCTACCGACCACCCTGTTGGACTTTTGCCGCTCAAAAACAGTGCGGCCGGCTATAGCCAGCAATGCTGATCAGTGTATTCTGATGGTGGGCAAGTCTATCCGCTGTCAGAATACAATAGCTCCAATGTGTGGATTGGGGAACTGAGTCAGTTTCTTTTTTGTTCAACCTGCTGGTGGAACAAAAAAGACTGATTTGTGTATGGGCTGCCTAACAAATGGTTCAGGTTAGCAAGGCTGATGTCAGCTAGGGGCTCAGACTTCAAACAGCTCCCCAGCAGATGTTATTCAGACGTCCTGGACATGCTCTTTGACAAGAAGCACCTTCAAAGATCTAAAACATCTCTGCAGGCAGAATCACTTGGGAAGCCTGCCTATAATATCACTGTCTGCTAAAGTATTATTTATGGTGCTCAAAAAGTTATGAGCACACAAAATGCAGACATCATGGCCCAGTTAATGGACAAGCAGAATACAGTGGGTGTTCCAAAAATCACACCCACCAGTCAACAAATAGCTGAACAAGACGAACACGGGAAACCTGCAGGTTTTCAATTTTGAAGGGACGCGGGGAGGTAACCACATACCTGAAGTGCCTCTGTGTCCAGCTCTTGCCTCTTTACCTCCAGCTGAGTCAGATGCATTAACTCAGCTTCTATTAATAATATCTAGACAGAAGATGAGACAGGAGGGATTGGATAAATAAAATCTCACTCTTATAAGCTATCTGAGCTGCCGTAGCAAAGCCGGGGGTACAAGGGAGACATCTGCGGCAGCCAAAAGGTTAGTTTTATGCTGTATTAAAAGGAGGTGCAATACATGCATTGGATCTACATCGTACGCAGAAAACAAATCACATATATTAATAAGGCAGGCCACCAACAAACTGCCAATTGTAAAGCTAATATGTTATTGTATTTTACAAGAGATTAGACGTTATAAGTTCTATGTGGAAAAGAAGCCCCAAACAAAAAATACAATTCTGGAAAGACGAACGGTGGGTTAGATTCTCTGTCAGGTGTTTATTACAGCCTGTGTCCTGTTGGTCAGAACTGCACGTTCTTCCTGTCCCAATTGCTGTAAATTGAATTTACCATGTCCTTTTCTATAGTGCATTCTCCCTACATTTCTGCTGAGTGTCTACTAGGGAGGCCACTGACACTGATAAGCCCATAAATACTTTTTCATAGAAATATTTGTACAATGCATTTCAGAGAGGGAGATCAGGAGGTTCAGCTGGCAGTAACTCCCTGGTAGTTACCATGATAGGAAGTGAGAATGAATCTTCCCAGTGAAGACACATGCAGCTTTAAAACCTGACATTGGTTCTAACCCTTCTCTACTGTATTCAACATGTAAAACAGTTTGAAGTAGAGTTTCACTTTAAAATGTAATAGAATCACATAATTACACTAAAGAATCCAGTAAAAAATATTATGCAATTAGTAAAAAAAAAATTCCATGAAACCACAGAAGCTCACGTTTCATGAGTCAGTATTGGCAACTGAAACTGATTTAAATAAGGACTGAAGAGCTATGAGGTTTTAAGCACTATGCTGTCTGCAGGAGCGATGATATAATCTATTCTCCTGGTACACAATGGACAGCGAAGGTCAGTATCCCTGCTTAACTGTATACAGTTGAGGTATTAGCATTTGAAACTGATCTCATCAGGAGTCATGGATCACAAGCTCAGAAAGAGATCATTATAATTCAAAAGCAGTATGCCAGGAAAAAAATGCTTAATAATCATAAATCTATTCAAACAGTGGTGACAAGGCAAAAAGTAAAGTATACAAGCAAATTTGCCTCTCGATAGTAATAATGCAACCCACTTTCGTCCTTTAGGGCTTGTTCACACCTATGCAGTGCTTTTCGCAGTTCGTTTTGCGTTTTTCTACACGCATTTTTACTGCGTTTTTGTTAAGTTTTTTTTTTGTTTTGTTTTTTAAAGTGGAATTTTTGTTGTTGTTGGGCAGAATAAAAATGCAAAACACAAAATGCGGCAAAAATGCACAACTACCATGCATTTCAGCAGATTCTCCATTGAAATCTATTGTAGCAAAAACGCTGCTTTTTGCTTTTAAAAAAGTCCCTGGCCCTGTCCAAAAACACAGCAGCTCAAAAAAGCATAGATGTGAACATGTTCCACCTAGGAAACCATGTTAAATGGACTGTAGTGCGTTTCTACAAAAAAGCACTAAAAATGCATTGGTGTGAACAAAGCCTTAAGGAGTGTCAGTCAATGCTTGGCTTATGCAAAACATATTCGTATTCAGTCCTAGGTTATCGTTACACTGTGCAGGGCTTACTTGGGAATATCCTATATTTGCACTTCAGTGCTAGCTTCAATTTGTCTAAGATTGTGCTAGGCCCTAGTCTAATGTATAAAAGTTGCTTCCCTATCTTCCAGCTGTAAAGTTTGTATAACAGCCTAATAAAACATAGCCTCAGGGTAGTGTACGTTCCTCTTAACTATGGAGCTGTATTAATTGAATGCTGTAACACAGCCTCCATTGTAACAAGGGTTACAATGTATTGCTTTGCTCTGTGGCTTATACAGTATTTATGAACTTCATCAAGGACTGCCTTGTATCTAATAAATTAAACAGCATACATCTAGAAACTTAAAGTGGCTTAAACTCCAAGGTCAACATGGAGCTGCTATGGGACGGATATTCTTGCCACAATTAAAGGACCAAATACTAACTTTTTCTGGTGGAAATGTTACTCCAGGCTCCTCCCAATGCTGTTTACATAATCAAAATATAGGCATTTGGTCACATGAGCTCTAATAAAGGAGATGATCAGATTTCAAAATGGCAGATTCTTTCTTTAGAGACCATATGACCAAATACCTAAGTGCTTGATTATGTGAACAAAATCAAAGGCCATCGCCACCTTTTAGAGTATGTTACATGCTACCCCAATATTTAGGGTGTAAAATGCTGGAAAACTGACACCCCCACCCCAAACTGATGCCCCGTCTGACACCATGCAGGGGTTCTTCACTTCCACAGCAGCTGTCCATTCTGAAGTTTTCACAACTCTGCAGTGCTCCGCCCACACAGCAATGTTATTCAGTCACAAAGATCTTTGAATGAATAAACTACAAATTAGATCTGCCATTGCAGCAGGCAGAGTTGTAGACATCAGTTACCAAAAGTGCAGTGATCACCACACTCATAATTCAATTACACTTTCTCCAGCTCTCTAACTGAAAGCTCTTATCTTGGTATGGACTAGGAGCTTGAGGAAGAGTCTGCTGGAGCCTGGCAAGGCACACACAATGCAGGGATTGCAGTTGCCAATGCTTTGCAGGGTCATCTGCATAAAAATAAAAAAAACACATACTTTTTTTTTCTGCAAATATCGAATATATTTATTAATTTTTTTGCAAGAAGTGGACTTTGAACAGCATTTTATCCAAAATAAGTATTTCATTCCTTACATTAAACTTTATGTATCCATCCCAGCAAGATGGTTAACTTTCTCTCTCTCTTATTTACCAATAATTAAATCAAACCAAGACTGACGTTATTGATGGAGGTGGAATATTTACCGGCTTTTCATTTTCAACAAGAATATTTCCAGATGAGGTGTGTTCAATGTCTGAAAAACTTTCAGTTAATAGCTTTTATTGTCAAGAGACCGTTTTTATGAAGTATGATTCTACAGAAATGGTAATGTTTTAGAAGGAGGTGTTGCTAAAAATACTGGACGAGTCAAGACCGGAGGAGTGGCTTTGACTTAACTTGGCTAAATGCTTCTATAACTGTTTTTCATGCTTGATGTTCTCTATGATACAAATGTGGTGTCTTCCAGAGAAATATGGCAGCAAGGAGCAATGATAAAATAAAGTAAAAAGCAACAGCCAGGCAGGGCAAGAAGAAGGCCAAATAACATGCTGAGATGTTGGCAAAGGTGAGCATGGAGGAGATTCCTATTTAGAACAAATGCATACTACAGCAGAGTCGAAACTGTACCGAGCAAAAACAATACCCTAAAAGGAAATCCAAACTGAGGAAGTATGGATACTTCCATCACTGAACTCTGCTTTTGAACAAACTAGTTCCCTCACGCTGAGACATTGGCTTCAGTACTGTCTGACTCACTGATCTGGAACAGGTACAAAAATCAGGAGTACTGACTTTACTAAATGCATGCTTATTCCAGGTCAGCAACTCAGAAGGTATATAAACCAAAAACAACTAGCATTTTCAGTAGGTGACCTCTGTGTCCTTTCATAATGGTTTTCTTCCAAAAGGTATGTCCACTTTCATGCAGAAGCCCCATTATCAAGCTTTTTAAAAAGGTAACGGAGCAACCAACGAGCCATGGTTTTCCAACCACTCTAATTTGATGAAAGGTAACATGTTGCTGCCATGGATTACCATTCATTGTCATTCTTTGCTCAGCCATAATATATAGCCATAAGCAGCAGTGAAGTGATTAAAGCATACCCATTACACAGAAATGAGATTGGGGGGGATGTTGGAGCCACTTTGGGTGTGGAACTAAGGTTAGTGCATGACATCTTATCCCACCCTGCCTATCTGTGCTGACTGGTTTGCCACACAAAATGGTTGCAACACCCACTGGTAGGAGGCAGGTACACTTTATTCCCCTCTTTGAATCTCATATACAATTCCCATTCCTTCTTAATTAGTCGCTCTCAGATCACACCCACCTGTTCCCGTATCTGCCGATGCATTAAATCTTTCTTCAGCTGCAAGGCCTCGAAGGCCACTTTCTGCATTTCTGACTAGAAAGGAAACAGTTAAATAGAGAGTCAGAGAAATACAATATTCACCATTAGAGATTGCGAAGGCACAAAATGTAAGCTTGGGATAAACATTAAAAAAAAAACAAAAAACAGTTAACCCCTGCAAAAAGGAATTTTGGCTTACATGTCAATTCCATATCTTAGAGTACAGTACAGAACATAGGAAGTGTTATGCATATACCATGGGTTATAGACTTGTACCTTCAGGTGATTGGACATTGGCAAGGCTTTAGAAGACATGCCCTCTAGGAGTTTCCCCTGTAACCTTACCCTAAGTCCATGAGTCCTCAGTTCTCACCCTGATTAAGTATCCATTCAGAAGCAGGGTCCAGTGCTGTAGGGTCAACTGGATTGTTCTGAGCTCCCAAGATGTTGATGGGGTGCTGGACTGAATAATACTGCCTCGAAGGAGCCTAAAACTTTCAAGAGGACTCTCACTGTCGAATGTCTCTTGGATCTCAATTATTAAGCATGCGCTCTTAGAGGAAGAACTTTGTTTTCTGGGAGAAAGACTTTTGCTTGGGCTGTATCCAGGACCAGACCCAAGGTTTCCAGGCTAAGGGAAGGCTGGAGAGCAAATTTGTTGAAATTGATGACCCAGCAAAAGACCTGGAGCATCTGACTTGTCTTGTGCATATTTTCTGATAGCTAGAAAGGAAAGGAGTCATTCAGAACAAGGGTATAGATAGCCAGTTACTTGGATTCTCTGAGACTCTAAGAAGGGTAAGCAGAGGTGGTGCTAAGACTTTTGTGAACACTCTGGAAATAGAGGATAGGCCGAAGAGCAGTGCAACAAACTGGAATTGATTCTGAAGCGCACTGATGAGGTGGGTAAATGGAAATATGCAAATAGGCATCTTTGATGTCCATGGCTGCCATATATTCCCAAAGAGGCAATTACTGACCCTGCAGATTCCATGCAAAATTTTGGAATTTAAATCTGTTGAGCGATTCTAAGTTCAGAAGAAGATGGATACCCACATTGTGCTTTGGTACAATAAACAGATTTAAATAGAATCCTTTGAACCTGTCTTATGGTGGTACTGGCATACCCTTATATCATGGTGTATGAATATCTGTGCCTTTGTCCTGTACTGTAGGGTTAAGGTATGATATTTTAGTTATTGAGGGGAATGGGGCATTTTAACCCACTGTCTTTTTAAAGACAGGAAGTTTAGCAATCTCTGGTTACCAGCTCCATCCACTTACCACATACTACCATGCTCACTGCTAGATTTTGCATTCAGGTTACATTAGAGAAACTAAAGGAGTGAGATTTTGCTGCTAAGATTCAAAGGATACAAGAATGCAGTGGATAGATCAGCTGGGCAGCATCTACCCATAACCCAAATATCAATTTCGCGCAAAAAAGACACTTTAAACAGCACTTGTCCACAAAATAATTGTTTGCCAACGAATACACAAGACAGAATGCCTCATGCCTCGGTGAGGTTACCAGCAAGCTAATAGGTAGAAGTTTCATAAATATGATTTCTGTCTCTCTCCTACATATTCACCTTCACTCAACTTAAATTAAAAGTGGCCTCCCATTAAGCATTTACACCAACTCTTCATCAGCAACACACCATACAGGAATACTTATGCTGTGCAACTGGGGACTGGACTTGCACTTGCTTCTGTTCTCTTCCTTAGTTTAAGATTCATCCTACCTTATTGCTGATTGTGAGCTGGTTTGTGCCGTCATTCAGGAGTTTATTACAATTTTGTCAACCTATTGTTGGCTGCAAACTATGTTATACTACCATAGACATTGATTGTTTTCTGCCTTATTGTTAGCAATGGTTGATGATGCTGTATGTGTACTTTTTGCTGAAGTGCCATGAAACTAACAAAGTTATTCTGAAAAAAACAGTTTTATAAATATTGCTTCTGTCAAAAATGGATCTCTCCATTGTATACTAGGACAAGTATAGTCTAAAGTCCAGCCAAAACAGATACTTTTACATTTTTTTTTCACTAGCTTCAAGGAACTTGCTATGATGAATTCAGGTTCAGACCTGGTGAAGTGACAGGTACACTCTAAAGGACATTCTACACATACCTCCTGCAGGATCTGGCTGATGGCCTTACTCTGATCTAGCTGCTGCCATGACTGGATTTGCTGGAGCTTGCGGTCCATTCCTGCCAGGCTGTCAACGAAAAGATAAAAGTAATAAATGAAAATTACAATAACCTGTTAAATGTGTTGCATCTAGAAGAAGCTCTATAAGTGAAATACAGCTTAAAGTATATGTAAAACATAACAAGATGACATTTAGTCATCAGCAAACAGTATGCTAAACGCAGAGGTATAAACATAAGCCTAATGCTCAAAGCAATATCAACATTTTGCACACTTGGTTCACTTACATGCCAATATCTTTTTTAGTCCTTATAAGATCCAAGATCCAAGATGCATAATATTTACATAAATGTTGAATAATCTATATTATGTTAAAAATTGAATTGAAGCTGAATTCACAATATGGATTTTATTCTATATTTGCATTGGCCCAGCTCGGGCTAATGTAAATATGCATATCCCATACCTGTGGGATCCCTGATTTGATTTGAATGCTTCTTGACTCATCAACTTTTTAGAATACAGTGGCCAATAAAAAGTATACAAAAAATCTGACCATAATCTGACAATGTCACAATTAAAAGAAAAGTCATTTAATGACTAACTATCTTTGTCCTTGTACAGATGAAATAATTAGCTAGCAGAAACCTCTCGCCTGTTATTCTGTGACCTGTCATGAAGCAGCACACAATCATTGACAGCACCCAGTCTTACTCAAGACAATCTGGGGTTTTTCCACCTCACCTGGAGCATGTCTGGTAAACCATCTCCTGACGCCTTGCTTCATAAGCCATTTGCAAGAGCTTGTTCTGGTAACTTTCCGCCAGCATTTTCTGCATCGCCGCTGGTGAGACAGAGGCAGGAATTAATAGGTTGGTCTACCCAGCTGTTGTGCCAGGGATATCTGATAAGAAATTATTTAACTCTTAAGACACTGAATGAAAGTAATCAAATCAATAAAAGCTCTGGTATTTATACAGCTATAGCAATGTGTACAATTTATGCCTGAGTATTTTTGTAAGATGGGAAAAAAATTGGGATCACTCATACATTAGCAGGCAATATTAATTCCCTGATTGTTAATCAGCATTTACAACTTTTGCCTACAGTTATACACAGGAGAAAAACTGTATTTATAGTACAAAGAAGCAAATTCTATAAATGGGACTTGCTAGTATCCTTGGTTGCAGGAAGGCTGGGCTTCATTACAGAGAATGCTGGACTGGGAAAGGTAAATCTGGAAACAAAGAGCTAAGTTTCAATAGGAGAGGGTTAGTGTAAGAGTTAAGCCAGCCATAGACTGCTCGAATCCTGCTGAACCAGCCGAGATTCGAACCATGTATGGGCAGGCTGAATGTACAACCAGCCTGCTGGAATTTACATGCGATTATTGCTAGGGGTTGTTTTAGCTGCTAGCAAAAAAGCGGGGATGGCTTCCTCCTAATCGACTAAAAATCTCAAAAAACGTTTGGTGTATAATTTAGTTAATACAGTATAGGATATAACTTTTTTTTTTTTTTTTTTTTTTTTAATGGTTGAACTGGATGGACTTTTGTCTTTTTTTAGCCAGACTAACTATGTAAGTAAAGTCATTTGTTCCTAAATATCTATATGCAGCGGTAAATATAAATAACCAGCTATATGGTTAGGGAATACAATATCTAATAACAGACAAATATCTGAATAACAGACAGAAGAAATGTACAGTTAGGTCCCTATATATTTGGACACAGGCACAATTGTAGTTTTTTCAGGTATTTACCAAAACATATTCCAGCTATAGTTATATAATGGATATGGGCTGAAAGCACACACTCTCAGGTTTAATTTGAGGGCATGTACATCCAAATAGGAGGAAGAGTTTAGGAATTACAGCTCTTAAGAGTAGCTACTTCCCCCTTTTTCAAGGGACCAAAAGTAATTGGACAATTGAATCAAAAGCTGTTTCATGGCCAGGTGTGGGCTACTCTTTTGTTATTTCTTCATCAATTAAGACAGTAAAAAGACTGCAGTTTCTAAGTGTGGTATTTGCATTTGGAAGCTAGTGCTATGAACCTACATCATGCGTTCAAGGGAGCTGTCCATGCAAGTGAAACAGGCCATTGTAAGGCTTAAAAAATGAAACAAACCAATCAGGGAGACAGCAACATCATTAGGAGTGGCCAAATCAACTGTCTGATACATTCTGAGGAAAGAAGAATGCACTGGTGAGCTCAGCAACATAAAAAGGCATGGACGTCCATGGAAGAAAACAGTGGTGGATGATAGCAGGATCCTCTCTATGGTAAAGAAAGAAAAACCCATTCACAACATCCAGACAAGTGAAGGGCACTCTCCAGGAGGTGGGTGTATCATTGTCAAAGTCTACAATCAAGAGAAGACTTCACGAGAGCAAATACAGAGGGTTCACCACAAGTTGCAAACCATTCATAAGCCTGAAGAATAGAAAAGCCAGATTAGACTTTTCCAAAAAACATGTAAAAAAGCCAGAACAGTTCTGGAAAATATTCTTTGGACGGATGAAACAAAGATTAATCTGCTCCAGAATGAAAGGAAGAAACAAGGGTGGAGATGGCTTGGTACAGCTCAACGTCATCTGTAAAACATGGTGGAGGCAGTGTGATGGCATGGGCATGCATGGCTTCCATTGGCACTGGGTCATTGCTGTTTATTGATGATGTGACAGAAGACAGAAGTAGCCGAATGAATTCTGCAGTGTTTAGAGATATACTGTCAGCCCAGATTCAGCCAAATGCAGCAAAGTTGATTGGACGGCGCTTCACAGCACAGATGGACAAGGATCCAAAACACACTGAAAAAGCAACCCAGGAGATTTTGAAGGAAAAGAAGTGGAATATTCTGCAATGGCCGAGTCAATCACCTGATCTCAACCTGGGGCGGACTGACAACTTATGGGGCCCCTGGGCAATAGGGGATCATGGGGCCCCTGTGTCCTTGCCCAAACTAAAAAAAAGCCTATGAAAAAGGTACCAGGGGCATCTCATGGGGCCCCCTACTGACCCTGGGCCCTCGGGCAGTGCCCGAGTTTCCAAATGGTCAGTCCGCCCCTAATCTCAACCCAATTGGGCATGCATTTCACTTGCTGAAGGCAAAACTAAAGGCAGAAAGACCCACAAACAAAGAATAACTAAAGACAGCTGCAGTTAGAGCCTGGCAAGCATCAGTAAGGAGGAAACTCAGTCTTTGGTAACGTCCATGGGTTCCAGACTTCAGGCAGTCATTGCCAGTAAAAGATTCTCAACAAAATATTAAAAATGAACATTTTATTTAGGATTATATTCATTTGTCCAATTACATTTGAGCCCCTGAAAATGGAGGGACTGTGTATAAAAATGGTTGCAGTTCCTAAAATTTGTACTTGATATTTATGTTTAATTCAAGGGGTTGAAGTTTAAAGTCTGCACTTCAAATTCATTTGGATTGTTTAGTTTTAATTTATTCTAGTAGCATACAGAGCCAAAAGTATGAAAATTGTGCCTGTGTCCAAATATATATGGACCTAATCGTATATACTCTTAGGAGGTTGAATCTGGTACACAACATCGGAATCAACAGATCAAAAGTTTTATTTAAAGAAAAAAAAAATGTAAAAAGGAGACCTAAAACACAGTTTTGCAGATTTTCTCACAGGAGTGTGTTATAATATTATGCATGAGAGACTCCCTTTGCATAGGCAGGTAACGTGATACAAGCTACCTGCGCCTGTTATCACTTATGCTGTCCGTACACAAACACAGAACGCAGAATAGAAAACATTAATTGTTATGCCTTATAATACCTCTTGTCTATCAGCTTCTCTGGGTTCAGATGCTGATCTTCTCTGCATAGAGCCCTGTACTGAGCTGTATGCGTGCTGCACTGTAAAATGCAGCAAAAACATGGTAAAAACGCCTATGCGTTTTTGAGTCGTTTTTGCAACGGATCAGTGTGAAAGTAGCCTTACTAAAGCTGGTGCACACAAATTCTGGGGCAGCTGTGCATAGTAACCAATCAGTTTTTAGGTTTTATTGTCAAAGCTTAATTGAACAAGCTGAAGTTAGAAGCTGATTGTTACCATGCACAACAGCACTAGATTCTGTGTGCTCCAATTCTAGTAAATCTCCCACAAAAAGTTAAATAGGGTATATTATGTAGCTGAACAGACACAGTTGTAGTACATACCAGCAACTTCTTTTCGTCTAAGGTTTTCTGCCTCTTCCTGTGTGATTGCCATGAGGTGCTCCATTTTTATCCTACGAAACACAACATATTAGGATATGTCACTAAGAGAATGATCTTCAAGGCTGTGCCCTCACAAATATTATAACTATCATTGTTTGTACATACCAAATTAATGTGTTTCTAAAGCCAAGTTTTTTTCTAGTGTTGGATAGAGTTGCAAAGGGTTAGGATTTCTAGAAATTCTGAGGACCCTCTGCACACTGGTATATACCCTTTCAAGCAAACTATGAAATAAATAGGGATATTTAGTTCACACATATTGCAATACATGCTTAAGCTGGCCAACTGCATCAAAGTAATCCCTCTATGGCCAGTCCTACTCTGCCCTGCCTACGCAAATGCTACTGTGGACACAATGCTAGCATAGGGGAAAAGACACAATGAATTTCTGTCCTCTCCTACTGTCATCAGGAAAAAAGATAGAAAAAATTGAAATGTTTGCAGTTTTTGCTAGAGGTATGGGGAATTCTTCCAATAGGGACACCTGTTCTTCTTTTCTGCTGTCTTTGGGGAGATTTTCTCTCAGTTTCTGGCGTGTCTCTGAGACAGGAAGTGAAGGGAAATCTCACCAAAGGAACACAAACAGCAATAGAAAAACAGACAGGTGTTTAACCATTCCCTATTCTAGCCAGAACTAGAAAAAATAAACTTTAAAGAAAAAAATATGCTTAAACCTGAAAAGATTACATAGCAATGACTATTGGTTCGGTAAATGCAAAACAGATCCCCCCCCTCTATTATTATACACAGTATTTAACATGGCACCTACAGTAATTTGCTGCACATCCAACACCAAGAACAGCTGCATAAAGATGATGTCAGCATATTCCTAAAACTTTATTGTTCAGGAAAAATAAAGGGAGCTGGATGGAAAATTATCCTTTGAACATGGGTTGCAGCCAATCAAATGTAGCACCGCACAGCCCTCGTGGATGGCCGGCGGCCATTTTGATTTCTCCTTGCCAGCCTTTCAACTACTGCATGTGAGTTTATGCTTGTACATTTTACCCCCGTGGTTTCCATTAAAGTACCGTATTTGCCGGCGTATAAGACGACTTTTTGACCCTTGAAAATCTTCTCAAAAGTCGGGGGTCGTCTTATACGCCGGTACACATGTTAGGGGGGCTGCGGCATTAAGTACAGGGGTTTGCAGGGGCTGATGTCTCTTACCTGGATCCAGTCCCACGACGATCCGGTCCAGGAAGCGCGGCGTCTCCTTCAGTTCGGCCACTGGATGTTCGTGCGGCTGCTCGGCTCCGCCTCCTCACCGGTGATTGGCCGCCAGAACTGTAGCTCAGGAAAGGCACACAGGCGGCCAATCACCGGCGAGGGGGCGGAGCCGAGCGGCCCCGCGAAAATTGAGTGCCGGAGCAGCAGGTAAGTGTTCTGTGTAGAGGTGCTGCTGCAACCACATATGCTGGCTGCAGCAGCACCATATGAGAACAGGGTCAGCAAGTCTCAGTGGGAGGAATAGTGCCCCATCATTGGTGTCACTGATACCAATGATGGGGCACTATTCCTCCCACTGATACCAACGATGGGGCACTATTCCTCCCACTGACACCAACGATGGGGCACTATTCCTCCCCCCCACTGACACCAACGATGGGGCACTATTCCCCCCCCCACTGACACCAACGATGGGGCACTATTCCACCCCCCACTGACACCAATGATGGGGCACTATTCCACCCCTCACTGACACCAATGATGGGACACCATTCCTCCCACTGACACCAATGATGGGGCACTATTCCTGCCACTGATACCAATGATGGGGCACCATTCCTGCCACTGATACCAATGATGGGGCACCTATTCCCCCACTGATACCAATGATGGGGCACTATTCCTCCCACTGACACCAATGATGGGGCACTATTCCTTCCACTGACATCAATGATGGGGCACTATTCCTCCCACTGGTGTGCATTGGAAGAGGGGTAGTCTTATACGGCGAGTATAGCCCAAACACTACATTTTAGCAGGAAAAGTAGGGGGGTCGTCTTATACGCCCAGTCGTCTTATACGCCGGCAAATACGGTACTACACTATCAGATTCATCTGTGTTCTGGCTCGTTAATCCCGAGCCCCCCCCCCCCTTTTCAAAGTATATAAGGATGACCTGGTGGCCACTGCATGTATGGTGAGACAGGCTCCCCCTGCTGGTGAGAGGATTGCTTTCCCTCTGGTACCTGGAGACCCTGAGGGTGCAATACTTGCTTAGCTGACGCAGGCCAGACGATCCCCGCTGAGATCCAGTTTCCATATGTGGATGACCAGGAGTTGGTTATTACTCAAACGCGCATTAAATTGCGCTTTCCGGTTAGTGCAATCTACACTCATCTCCTTATGATGAACATGGTCACAGAAGTCACCAATTTTTTCACCACTTTGCCTTGAAAGCTTTCACTGTGCACTGCAGAACACTAATTTTAGATATATTTATTCATCATTATAGATCATATCTTTGGACGCTAATTATATTTTATCATCCCTTTTATATATATAATCAAAGCAATGATTAGGTTGTTATTGTTTTGACTATCGCATTTTAGATCACGTTTCATTTTTACATTTCTATTAGCGCTGCATGTTCTATTTATAAATGTAGCAATTGTTAGGGTATTCTGATGGCTGTCGGAAGAAGAAAAGGGAGAACCGCCAAAAGATTAAAAGACATTGATTTCATTGATTTTGATTTCCATCTTTGCTGTTAGAGGCACATGAAATCTCTGGCTGTAAATATGAAAATCAATGTCTTTTAATCTTTTGGCAGGTCTCCCTATCCTTCTTACCCCTATATGTAAAGTGCATAATTATATTCTAAGACGATTATATTATCAATATTATCAATATTAATGGAAATTTCCACATATAAAAATATATATTGATATATATGTTTGTTGTAGGCGTCATGCTTTTTTGAGCACTTCCGAAGAAGAGACTGTGATTGGTCTCGAAACGCGACAAGTGCAATTCATGCATGACTTATCTCTATATCTTCACCGGAATATAATTTTTGACGATACCGCCATGTGTTGTATTGTAATTCATATGTCGGTTTTAAGATTGCAAAAATAAAAATCGTATTTTTGTTAAACTGTTGAATTGTTAGTTTACCATTTGATATATTTGTGCCTTTAAAGTCCCACCAAGAGGACCTTTCCACTGTATCTTTTAGGGATTATGGCACTTCTTGTATTATACCCCTTCCTTTCTCTGCAATGGAACCTGGAACCAAAAGTGGCCTGCCAGAAGCTGTCTCTCTCCCCTCACATTTTATAGGCCAGCACTCAAGGTCCGATGCCAGTCATCAGGCCACGTCCCTACCAGAAGAGATGCCTGGGGCCACCGGTCAAAGAGTTGTGAAGAAAAACATAAAATTGGTCCAAGGGCCCTGTGACTCCAACAGAGGCTGAGCCTGGGGAAGTCCTGGACTCCCAGAACCATGGCGCTGAAGAGGTGGCCCCAGACTGCACACTCATTATTCCAAGGGGCATAAAGGAGAAAGAAATGGCCCTGCTTCACCACCCAAATCATGATGGAAAGAAATTAAAATAAAGAAATATTGAGAAGGACAGCACAAGAGAGCTCATTGTCCCCACCCTGAATTCCAGCACAAGGTTTCCCATCTGAAGGAGGAAACACAAAATATTGACCAATTCAGCAGAAGAACCTCCTTTTAAAGTGTTTTTTGGCGATGTGTTCTCTGTTCCTGTTGGACGTGGTTCCTATCTCATTTCCTGTCCAGGAAGGCGATTTGGGAAATAATAGTTTATGGTAAACTGTATTTTTTAATATCACCTATTAATGACAGCAATAATGTCACTAACCTTTCATCCTCCAGAGACTTCAGAATGGCGGAGCTTTGCTTTTGTCTGCAAAATGAAGAGGGGGTTTATTTTAAAACCATAATTATAGTTACTCAGCCAATGGATTTGCATTTCCTACCACTTTCCTACGCTATCACACAGCTGAATTTCTATGGAGGACACACAAGAGAGGTAAATTAAAAAACTCAAGCTACCAAAGTAGGTAATGATACACCCAAGCTGTATGTAAAAACACATTTTATTAATTTCCCAATAAAAAAGTGAGAATTATATCTGCAGACAGTGAATATCATACACAACCACCTAAAACACTATTAAAACCAAAAAGCAATCCGGATTGCAAAGCGCAAAGAAGTATACAGTGTCAATATGGACAGTGGGGAGATATAATAATGGACGCTGATGTTCCTGATTAGGAGCAAGTTGTGGGCAAAGCTGGTAGTTCCCTAACCGGGTAATAGGAAATATAAATCTGGGGTGTTAATGATATTAAACAGTCTCTGTTCATTGCTGCACAATTTTAGGCCATAAGTCATAATAGACAAATGAAAGGTGAATTGATAATATGGCCACTATGAAATGAATGTCCCAGATTCTTGGAGAGCAAAATAAATGACCATCAGATTTAGGGCATAAGGACAGAGTAATGCGGACTGAATCGGATATATATCCAAGTGAGCAACTTACGTGGTGATAAGAGCTATTATTTCAATCTTTTTATCGGGAAATTAATAAAATGTGTTTTTACATGTGAGCTGCTCTGCTTGGGTGCATCATTACCTACTTTGGTAGCTTTCTTTTTGCAGCTACTGTGTTTTGTTTTTTCATGTGAATTTTAGGTTTACACCGACACCTTTAATATTTTGGTGAGTCTGAGAGCTTAATATAAGGTCACCCTGCCTGATTTTGGTGGCAATTCTCTGTTTATTAAATTAACACACTGACCTGTTTGCATATGTCATTTTGTCACTGGCTGGTGACAGCCTACTTTCTGAAATGTTTTTTTTTCAGCAAGGGAGTGAAACATACAAAGCAGGTGAGTGTTCTCCCTGCATATTCTAGCAATCCTTTCCCTGATAATATTTCATAACGACGACACACACAAATCTATCTCTCAACCCCCCACCCCAGTCTCCGCCCGAATCACACACCTACTGAGCGACATATCAGACTGGATGTCGCTCCACTTCCTTAAACTGAACCTCTCCAAAACCGAGTTTCTTGTCTTCCCCCCAGCCCGGACACCACCCCCCATTGACTTCTCCATCACATCCAACAACGCCACCATCAAACCCGCCCCACAGGCCAGAGTACTTGGTGTCATTCTGGACTCCAACCTATCCTTCCAGCCCCAAGTCCAATCTTTAACAAGCTCATGAAGACTCCACCTCCGCAACATCGTCAAAATCCGCACGTTCCTAACCCCAGAAACCACTAAACAGCTCATCCACTCCCTCATCATATCACGACTCGACTACTGCAACTCCCTCCTTACTGGCCTGCCTCGCCGCTGGCTATCCCCGCTTCAGTCGATCCTGAATATGGCTGCCAGACTCATTCACCTTTCCAACCGCTCCGTTTCCGCCACCCCCCTCTGCCAATCCCTCCACTGGCTTCCAATTGCGCAACGGATCAAATTCAAAATCCTAACACTGACGAACAAAGCCGTCCACCATACTGTCCCAAACTACATCACCGACCTAATATCCAAGTACCGCCCAGCACGCACACTCCGCTCCTCACAAGACCTCCTTCTCTCTTGTTCCCTGGTCTCCTCCTCCCATGCCTGCCTCCAGGACTTCTCCAGGGTGTCACCCATCCTCTGGAACTCCCTGACCCAACCCATCAGATTATCACCTACTCTCCTCTCCTTTAGGTGCACCCTGAAAACCCATCTCTTCAGGGAAGCCTACCCCACCCCCTGCTAACTTGCCAACCTCCTCCACTCTTCCTACCACTCCATCCCCCACAGCTATCTCCTCCTGTGCCACCATCCCCTCCCTCCTAGATTGTAAGCTCGAAAGAGCAGGGCCCTCAATCCCCTCATGTTTTGCATTGTATTGGTATTGTTCTGTCACATGTTCTGTCCCCCTTTGTAATGTACAGCGCTGAGCGCTTTATAAATACTGTATAATAATAATAATAATAACAGGTCTGCCTCACCATACCATGTACCATCTGATCCTAAATAAAAATGGGATTCCGGTCAAAGTCCAAGGTTCATGGAGTGGACTAACAGACCAATTTAAAAAGTTTAGGATGAAGTTTAGCTAAAAAAACAAAAACAAACATGTATTTCTCTACAACTTTAGCAGGGTGCTGGATTCTGTCCTCTCCTTGCTCCTGAGCTTTTGGCGCTGTGAGAGTTAACAGCTTTGAGTCTCCAGGCTCAGCTACATAAAAGATGATCTGACAGGGACTACAACCTCCCCCCACCCTCCCTTTCCTCCTTTGAGAAAAGTTACAGTGCCCATAAAACGATCTGTGGGGGACAGTCTGATAAGTCACAGGATCCTCTCCCCCAGTCACAGCATGCATGTTACAGGCAGTCTAGTCAGTGAAAAAACTTTTCTCAGTGGAAGAGAGGGCAGGAGGGACCATGTCCTCTTCAGATCATCTTTAGTGTCAGATGACCAGAAATGCGTTTTACCGTGTTTTTGTACAGGACTCAAAAACGCATCACAAGTGCGTTTTTGATGCATTTTTGCTGAATTTTCTATTGATTTCAATAGGGAGGTGTTTTTGATGTGTTTTTTTTAACACACCAAACTTGCACCAAAAAATGCAGCAAGATGGATTTAAAAAAACAAAAAACACACACCTGACCAGCAACGTATCAGTATGAAGAGTTCCATAGGAATACATGGTGACACGTTTTTCTTCTGCTTTTTGTAATGCAAAATTCGAAGAAAAAACAGATCAGTGTGAAAGTAGCCTAAGAGGAAAGGGCAGCCATGCAGTGAAGACTTCTATAGAATCCAGTACATCATGGAACATATTACATTATAGGTAAGCAATGTAACTAAAGCTGTTGGGAGCAAAACATTAACTAAACTTCAGCTTTAACAAGTATCCTAAACCTTAATATAGAACTATAGGCAAACCATTTTTTTCCCTTTTGGATAGATTAAAGTGATTCTAAAGGCATAATTTTTCTTTTAATAACAAAACATGTCTATACTTACCTCCTGTGTGCAGTGGTTTTGCACAGAGCAGCCTGGATCCTCCTCTTGGGTGCCCTACAGGCTCTCCTGGCTTGTCCCTCCTGTCGGGTGCCCCCACAGCAAGCAGCTTGCTATGGGGGCACCCTTGCACACGGAGCCACGGCTCGGACCTGTCCTCTTTCTCTTCTCTTGACTCACTGCCTATGATTGACAGCAGCGGAGACAACAGTTGCCGCTGATGTCTCATCCAATAAAAAGAGGGAGTCCCAGGATAGCCGAGACTCCAGTGCACATTGCTGGATCGAGAGGGGGCTTAGGTATCGGGGGAGAAGCTAGGGGAATACTGCACACAGAAGGTTTTTTACCTTCATCCTTTACAACCACTTTAAGGGATGGTTAGAAACTGTCAGATTTTCTTTCACCATCTGTGTCCCGTTGAGGAGATTGCCAAAGCCAAACAGGAAATGAGAGGGGATAAAGAGGATTCCTTGGGGACCCCCAGGTCACCAGAACTAGTCTTCCTATTAGAACCTTTTCCCCCTATCAGGGACAACCCAAAATGTGGAATTTTCTTTTACTTTCAACGATAATGGTTAACAGGACAAATAAAGAGGGCAAATTTCCCTAACGGGGACACAGACAGCAATAAAAACTGACAAGTATTCTAATCCCTCTCCACTCTGCCCAAAACTGAAAAAAAAAAAAATATGCCCTAAGTTGTACTTTAAAATTGACCATTAACCCTTAAAGCTGTATTAAATCCAAAACCAAAAATGTAATATACTACAATTTACCAGTCATTAGATGGGTGGCTGCATCAGTTTTCTTTTCTTAGGTTTTTTTTTTCCCCTCTGTTCTCACCTGGTGATCCAGCCAGTAACACACTGCCTGTATTAGAGTGCCTCTATTCTGGATGAATGAGCACAGGGGGCACCTTTGGACAGCAGTATTGTCAGTCTTGGACAGGGAAGCTGTAGGTGTACTAGCGGATTTAAATACACTAACAAATTGAAGCCAAATTCCAGCTAATGCTTTATAAGTAGTTACAGCAAACACTTTTTTCCTTTTTAGATAAAGGTTTTACATAAATACATAAAATCTGATCATTGTAAGCAACCCTGCTAGTGTTAAATGATTTGTCTTATCTCAGTAACTGATACTGAAGAAGAGCTTTTGCTTCTGAAAAACAACAGACTTACAGGCTGGATCACCGATGAAAATTAAGAAAAATCAAGCCTAAAAAAAGAAAATGAATGCACCTATCACATCTAAGAAATGGGTAAGCTGCAATATAATAAATGTTTGCTTTTGGGTTAAATATTGCATTAAAGTGCAGTCACAGTAAAATTACAAAAATATAAAAACTAAGCTCAAGCTCCCTCCTGCCTCCAAAACATTACTGTTAGCTATCACTCTGATGGCCTGCCTCACTTACCAATAAAAATGGGTGGAAAGGGAGCAAGCTTCGACATTACCAGGAAGTGGAAAGATTTTCCTGAACACACGGTTTGGCCAAAAAGTGATGAAAGCTACTGCAGGTATTTTAACGGCTTAGTGAAAGTGTAGGGGTAGAGACAGTGGGTAAACGGTTTCGGTTTAGAGTTAAGGGTTACCTTCCACGGCTGGGTTAAAGTTTAAAGTCTAAGTGTAAGTGTAGTCAAAATAAAAAACACAAAAATCAGCACAAGTGACGTAACCGTGTCCCTTGTACTGTTGACTTCTAGTTTCCTTGAAATTTTCCTCCATCGATTCCCTCCCACCTGCCATAATCGTCTGGTGCAGTGGGGGTTAATAGAACTAAGGGAGCTGTCATTTGCACTCTTCCAGACAGTCCGACTATGCCCACCATTTCTGCCCAGCTCCATCATTCATAGAAGCCAGTAGTACAGTTTCTATGAATGAAAGTGGATCTATGAATGGAGGATGGGAGTATGATTGAAAGATCTGCCCCCTTCATTCAAAAACCATGTTTCCCTCTTAGAAGCTTGTAGAACCAGCTTCTAGAAACGCATGGCTGGGCAGAAAGTTCAGGCATAGTCGGGCACTCTTTATGAGTGCAATTGACAGCTCTCTCGGTTCTGTTAACCCCACTGCACCCGAAGATTACGGCACATGGAGAGGGATCGATGAAGGAAAGTTTCATGGAAACCAGGAGCCAATGGCACAAGATGCATTTGTAAAGTTCTATGTGAATTCTTTTAGATCCCCCTGTCACTTGGATAATCTTAACTGCCTCTTATTTTTATACAATATCATACCCCTGAATGAGAGTTCTTGTTTAACTATCACCAAGAAAAAGACTTGGAATTGATCTGACCTGCGGTTTTCTTCCAGCAAGTTTGCTATACGATGCGATATTCCCTTCTCCATATGCTTCAGCTGATCCTGTAGCCTCTGCCGATCACTCTGCATCTGACGGTGATGTTCATTGAGCCCCTTCTCTAATTTGGATTGTTCCTGGGAAACACAAAGTCAGAGTGTCAATCCAACACTACAGGGCTCCCATCCCTAACCTAAATAGATCCTGAGCTAGGAAAAAGGCAGACAACTTATCAGTATATAAACAAGGCATGCCAGGTGAATATAGGGGAAGCAAATCAGTGTTCAAGTCCACTGAATTCTCCAATTCACTTCCAGTAAGCGCTCTCTTATAGCAGTTACTTAAATTTTTGATGTATGATGAGACAGCTTACAGAAACACATTAAAGGTCACTTATCTTGCCCCTATCATTAAGGATCCTGCCTCCCCTCTCTCCTCCAGTATAATGCCATTTTCTGTAACCAACAGCCCTACTGGGATCAGGGCAACGTTGTGGTTGAGATTTATCTGCCCTGTAGACAATGGTGTTTAGGAGATAAGTGGTGGTAGTGATAGGTCTGTGCAGCACTACGCAGGGAGGTTAAGCACTGGCCACCTTGGGTATAAATTAATGTAGTAGTGTGTTTAGAGAGAGACTGTATACAGACTATGCTGAAGCAGTCTGAAGGACCAAGATGACCAAAACTGTCTCATAAATAGCCAGGAGGCTGAATGTTTTGTTTTGTACTGGATTGCGTGGACACCCCTGCGACAGAATCTTTTTGTTTTGCTTTTTTGCTTGATTTAATGGTGACTATAAAAACAAGTGAAGAAAGCCCATAAAATGCACATTGCGACATCTGGGCTACCTTTCTGCAAGCTATACATTTCAAAGCTGACCCCTGCAAAACATATTGTGTATAATAAAAATGTTAAATAAAAAAACAGACCCAAATCCATTTAAGTTAGCCTACAAACAGATCCTCAGATAGATGGAAATGCTTGTATGAGCAACCGAATGCTACACTCACCTCTTTGACTGTCTGTAGAATCTCATCCTTATGGGAATTGCTCTGTAAGAAAAGCTGAGCATGTTCCCTCTGGCCCAATTCCAAGCGACGTTCAAATTCCAGCTTTTCCAGCATTTTTTTGTTCCTAAAGCAAATAATTAAATAGGTTATATATATATCATAAGATTGGTGTGTTTTTAATGATGTTTGCTATATTTGTTGTTTTTAAAAGGTAAAGCTATTATTGATGTTTTTATATAGTTTATGAAATTGCTTACATTAAACCCCACCCCTGAGGAGCTAGATCACCAAAACTTACCTTTCTCTTCTCATATTCAGAAAATTTGTGCTGTAATAAAAACAGAATGAGGCTTAAAACTTTCATATAAACCTATTACAGCTTACAGCCCATTGTTATACCCAGCAATCAATCTAGTTTCTATTTTTTCCACAAGCAGACTTACAGTCAAATAATCCCACCCCCAAAGGTTACTCTGCCCACATGGCCTCTTAAAATGATAAAAAGTAGAAAACACTAAAATACTGGCAGAGCATTGATTGATAATTTCAGATAAGAGAGCCCAGTACACATTTGCTAATTGTCAGCCTCTCTAAAAGGGACGTATTAAGACATTTCCATCTCTGCTGGCAGAAGGGAAGGTGGCATACAGTATGTTCCTCCTCTTACTCAATGAGGTCTTTATTCAGCACAATAGCTACTATTTACTGGCAGCAACTGGTAAATATAAATTATGTTCAATATTTCATATTTTGAGAAAAAAAAGAATATATCAATGTTAATTTTTTTATTTGAACATATAAAATTAAGTAAGAATGTAGCCCTTACAGTCTCCACTTGTCAAACTAAACTCTAATCATAATGTACTTTTATTTGTTTGAATTCATGTGTTTTGTGGCTCATGTCACTTTTGGTATCATTTTTTTGTGGACTGACCATTTAGCAAAATGAAAACCTTTACCAAAGGCAAAGCAGAGGCTGCCATTACTAACCCTCTTTTGATCATGCTAGCTGCCTGGCTGTCATGATCATGTCAATTTTTTTTTAAATAACCAATATGGAACAGGTGTGCAAAACAAGACTCAGACTTGATGAGGGGTCAGCAAAGATAGCCCTACATTTACTGTACCTTGGTACATATTTTCTTTAATCCTTTTATGACCAGAGCTCACTGGTGCCTAGGTGCCCACACCAAATTTAGCAGCATCAGTACATGTCACTTAATTTGATAAATAACCCTATGACTAATTTACATAGCTTAATAGATTTTAGAATGTTCTATTTGGTACTATTTGGTACTATTTGGTACACTAGACTTGAGCAGTAGGCTGCAACTCCTCCTGGCTCGACCAGAGGTGTCCGTTTTGGCCGCGATGTGACGCTAACGCTCCCATTTGAACAGCACCATGTGATGCAATGTGCAAAAATTTCCCAGGCGTTTGGGAAATGGTAAAAAAGCTTCCCAAATGCCTGTCTGCCGCTTGCTAACAAGGCAAGTGTGAACGTAGCCTTAAACTCTGCACATTAGTATTTCTTAGGGCTCTCACCTTCACCAAAAACTGCAGTATGCCTGGGTATGATCACCATGATTGGCTTTCATGGTGATTATCACATACACAGTTGTGTGTTCCTAGTTCGAACCTGGAACTTTAGTTAACATTCTCATATCATGGATCACTGCACCTGAGAATTTTAAATAACCAGATTTAAAAAGCCATCTGTATAACATTTGTTAGGCATAGGTCAATATATTATGCAGAGATCCCCTTATACTAAAAAAAAAATAAACATCCATACTCCTCTCTATGCTGCAGCTTTACTGTGATGCTGCAACTGTACTTTGCCGGCTCTAAGTAGATCACTTGGTCTTGGTCAGCCCTGAGCAGAAAAAGGTGACTATCAGTCACCGCACTCTGCTCTGCCAATCCAGTGCTAACTGAAGCACGGAGCTGGAGAGAGGATGCATGCAGCTGGCTTCTAAGAGCCAAAATCAGCTGTCAATAATGCAATTGGGTGGATCCCTACAAACTGGTTGGGATCCTTCCGGAGCCTTCAGCCAACAGTGGACTTTGGCCCACTGTTGGCTGAATCTGGGTCTTTGGAGGGCACAAGTAAAGGAAGTGTGGGCCAAAAAGCTTTGGCCATACTTCCTTTTAAGAACAGTGCATAAATGCTGTAAAGGAAGGAGGGTGAGTATCAGTTCTTACAGTGATAAAGATTCCTTCTCTTTCATTTACAGCAGTTTTTTCCAACTTTATAGGTACTCTCTAAAATGCAACGTGCAGGGATAATAATTCACGGTCTCAAGTACTAACATGATAATCCATAAAGTAGAATTTCAGCTTTACTATGATTTGAAATTGTTTAGGCCAAGTTGGCCCAAATTAACGATTTCCTTTATACAACTTTGCAGCTGCTGTGTACTCTGTAACATATTGTTGTAGCATTAGCTACATACAGTAAGCGGAAATGTGTGCCAAAGACTTCCTGTCTGCTACTGAACCTGAATCAAGTCGGCCTTAATGCAGCTTCGCCATTCAGGATAAGTCTTGTATTTTTATCAGTAAATACAAGGTTCTCGGCTTAATCTGTGGTGTGGAGGGAGAGTAAACATCGTTAGTTCTCCTAGCTTTAGCATTATCACACTAATGTTTCACTGTGCTTAAGTGTCCCAAATCAGCTATAATTTACAGATAATTACAGATACTACATACAGTCAGACAGAAATGTCAGGGGCCACAAAAAGGGCCTTCAAACCTAGTTGGTGGCCTGTTCAGGTAAATAGTCCACATTGGTACATAAACCTGTGTAAAAGACAAGGTTAGCTTGGCATACTCAGGACACAGCTGACCTGCCATTCGGACTCCTCCTTCAAAGACTTCAAAAAAGCGCCATCTACAGAATCTGTTCCTCCATCACAAACATCACTTTCCAAAACAGAAAGCAGGTACTGCGATGGGGGGCAGTACTCAATTCCAAGCTCTGTGAAAGAATCAGGAACACAGCTGTTTATGCTGAATAAATATATTTATAGAATTATTTAAACTTTCCATATTCAGATTTTAAAAAAGTCAGAGAAAAGAAAAACACATTTAAAACACAGCCCAGTTTGCCCTAAATAGAACCATTCAGGAATGAGTACTTGTAAGTTCCTGAATCTTGCCTTCCCTTACCAGGAATAGTTTTGTGTGCTGTGTAGGTTTATTCTTTCCTTGTAATAGCAGATATGTTATAAATCAGTAGCTCAGGCAGGAAACAAGAAAGCCTTACAACCTGACACATCTGCACTAATAGTGAGTCAAAACAAATAAAGAATAAAAAAAAAAACAAAACAAAATAAATTCATATTTTTCAAAAAATGTCCATGGGTGGTAGGTCTTTAAAATGTCTCTAAACCAAAATTATAGTCCTGATGGCAGTGGAAGCTCAAATAGAAATACATATGTGCCTGACGTTAAGTCTGACTAACTGCACCCCCCAGGATAGGGCTAATAATGGTGTAAATTATGTAATGTTTGTGACATGCACTGAAATAGTACTAATGTACGACCTAGCTTTTGAATTTGAAATGAGGGACACAGTGAAGAATGGGTGTGCTTAAATTATGATGGCTGGGAAGGGGCAAAGTGGCACCCCATGGGTGCCTCAAATGCTGCATCATTTAGCTGCAGAGGGAACACCGGGAATGTACACATGCTGCGGCTGTGATGTTTTGCTTCAAACCCATTGTCAAACTTGACCTATTCAAGTGAATGGTGCTGCTCTGCAACTGCCCCACAACTTTTTGCAATGCACATGGTTGCAGCATGCTAGTGCAAGGTTGAAGATGTTGAAGCAAGTGTTGAGGAGGCAATACAATTCCACCTTACAGCCAGTCAAATGCTCCCTGAAGAGCAATCTCAATGCTGATCGTTCTTCAGAGACCAAAACACATGTGAACAAGCCCTAATTATTTATTTTTCATTTTTAATATAATTTTTAGAATGTAATTATTATTATTATTTTTTTTTTTTTACATCTTTAACAGCCCTTTAGGGGCGTTGTTGAAATATCAGGGCTCTAAAAAGACTCCTAATGTCCCACTTTTGAGACAGAGACACCATGTGTTTTGGTGCATGTGAAAAGGCATGCGTTAGCAGATGCAGGGGGGTGCCATTAACAGTTAATAGCACTTCTGCACATCTACTAAAGAACAGTGTGTTTCCGTGGGTATCAGGAGAGCCACAATTATTTGCACATATTTGACATGCAAAGGTGTGAACCTAGCCTTATAGTGGGCTCTCACTGGTGTGCTGCAGTTTGGTTGCAGTGTGATTGTATGTGCGGCTTCAGGAGTGCTACCATGGAATTCTATTAAACAGTGCGCTTTGTGAAAGCACATCGAAGATGCAGCATGTAGGACTTTGATGTGCTTTCATGAAAACTCACTGTGTAATAGAATTCAAAGGGAGCGCTCCTAAAACCATAGGGTATACCGCACATACAATCACACTGTGGCCACTTCGTAGTACATGGTTGTTAGGAATTAAAAAAAAAAGCGAACAGGTGGAGTTCTGGGTAGTAAGAGTATGTTTTAACGAAGTGCAGATTGAAGGAGTGCAGAGAAAGTGCTAGGGCTGCATTATGGGGGACAGGACAGTTAGTAGACTGGGATGGAAAGGGTGTAAGCCAGACAGCTGTGTGGAATGTCTAGAAGTGGCCAGAATGGAGGAGTAAGGGAAGTGATACCTTGTGCAGTAACCATCAGGGAGAATTACAGTTTCTCCTGTCAGGCAGGAGCAGTGGAAGAAGCTCCCAGTGTGCCCCCTTCACCACAGATTATGACAGAGCCCAGTGCAGTCGCCCCTTCCGCCCCTGCTAGTAACCAGCAGGCCCATATCTGAAGTAGTGTAGCATGCCAGCTGCATTATTCAGGGAATGAACATCTTTTTCCTTAATACCTCACCTGACCTTAAACACAGACTTTTTGTTAGAACCGGAGAAACACTGTCCACAGCCCAGATAACTAAGTTTTCCCATTTATTACAGTATAAACCAAAAGAGGTAAATAATGGGAGGTGTTCTTGCCCACGCAGCAACTCTAAAATATACTGCAAATAAAGAACTTGCCCTTTAGAGGAAAACCTTACCCTTGCACAGGAATTGTTGAATAGCTTCCGTCCCCTCACTGCACACCGACACTGGAGGAAACACCATGACAGCCGCATCCAAAGACATGGTCTGTTAATATGTCACACAATACATTAAGCATAAGATTTTTAAAACACTAAATATTTGGTATTTCTTTAAACAGGGAAGACATTTTACACAGCCTGAGAGATAAATTGATATATTTATGTTTTGGTATATTATGCCCAACTCTGATCGAAAGCTCTTTTTTCATTCTTGAAGAGTAGAGATAGAACCTCTGTCTGGTTTTTAATGCTGTCTGAATACCCACAGAAGAGATAGCTCTTTCTCTGCTAACATCTGTCACCTGGACAGGAGGTACAGTGAAGGAAATAAGTACCGTATTTTTCGCACCATAAGACGCACTTTTTTCCCCCAAAAAAAAGGGGGGAAAATGTCAGTGCGTCTTATGGAGCAAATATGGAGCGGCCGGTCCGGTATTTCCACTGCCGCCGTGTCAGAATACCGGGTTGGCCGCTCAGCTCTACAGCGGGACCTTATAGAGATGACTGCTGACCTTTGGGGAGGGGGGGGAGCGGGTACCTGAATTTGACAGATACCCGCTCCCACTTCCGTGGAGTTGTTCTTTCATCTTACCCGTTCCTCTATCCAGCGGCGCGGTCTTCCCGGCTTCTGTAGTGTGGGCATGACAGCCGGGTGCCAAGTGCGCAGGAAGCGGTGCTTTTTGTGAATGGTAAGGCGGCACCTGGGACACATGACAGATCCCAGAAGCCGCCGGACCAATCACAAAGCGCAAGTGCTTCTCGCTCATGCGCACTGGGCACCCGGCTGTCATGCCGAGCGCCATTACAGAAGCCGGGAAGACAGCGCGCGGCTGGATAGAGGAACAGGTAAGATGAAAGAACAACTCCACGGAAGTAGGAGCGGATATCTGTCAAATTCAGGTACCCGCTCCCCCCCCCCTCCCCAAAGGTCAGCAGTCATCCCCTGTACTATCCACAGTCTCTGGTCATCCCTGTGCTGTCCGCAGTCTCTGGTCATCCCTGTACTGTGTCCGCAGTCTCTGGTCATCCCTGTACTGTGTCCGCAGTCTCTGGTCATCCCTGTACTGTGTCCGCAGTCTCTGGTCATCCCTGTACTGTGTCCGCAGTCTCTGGTCATCCCTGTACTGTGTCCGCAGTCTCTGGTCATCCCTGTACTGTGTCCGCAGTCTCTGGTCATCCCTGTACTGTGTCCGCAGTCTCTGGTCATCCCCTGCACTGTGTCCGCAGTCTCTGGTCATCCCCTGCACTGTGTCCGCAGTCTCTGGTCATCCCCTGCACTGTGTCCGCAGTCTCTGGTCATCTCCTGCACTGTGTCCGCAGTCTCTGGTCATCTCCTGCACTGTGTCCGCAGTCTCTGGTCATCTCCTGTACTGTGTCCGCAGTCTCTGGTCATCTCCTGGACTGTGTCCGCAGTCTCTGGTCATCTCCTGTACTGTGTCCGCAGTCTCTGGTCATCTCCTGTACTGTGTCCGCAGTCTCTGGTCATCTCCTGTACTGTGTCCGCAGTCTCTGGTCATCTCCTGTACTGTGTCCGCAGTCTCTGGTCATCTCCTGTACTGTGGCCGCAGTCTCTGGGTCATCTCCTGTACTGTGGCCGCAGTCTCTGGTCATCCCCTGAACTGTGTCCGCAGTCTCTAGTCATCTCCTGTACTGTGTCCGCAGTCTCTGGTCATCTCCTGTACTATGTCTGCAGTCCATTAGTTCAGAATTTTTTTTTCCTGTTTTCTGCCTCTAAAACCTAGGTGCGTCTTATGGTCAGGTGCGTCTTATGGAGCGAAAAATATGGTATTTGATCCCCTGAATGATAGGGGATCAAATACTTATTTCCCTCATGAACATGCAAATCAGTGCATAATTTGTTAGACATGCATTTCTTTTGATTTTTTTTGTTGCTATTCTGTCTCTCAGTGTTACAATACACTTACCATTCAATTTTTTAGACTGATCATTTCTTTGTGAGTGGGCAAACATTCAAAATCAGCAGGGGATCAAATACCTTCACTGTATGGGGAAATCTTCCTTACAGAGCCACAGACAGCAATACAATCATTACAGAGGTACAAAACCATCCTCAGTCTACTACAGTGTGTCACTAATATCTATGCCACCACTGGGAACATTCCCTTAAAACTGAAAATAAAAGGAAGTAGGTAAATTTACTCTCCGTTCCTGTTCTTAGGAAAAAGGGGTAATAGCCAGCAATCAAAATTTGGCAGGAGTTTCAAGATTACTTCACGCTATCAAAAAAAATAAATAAATTGGGGCTAGAGTTGGGCTAATGCTGAAACAAGGGACAGGGTATTATTATGTTAATCCAGTTATAGTTAAACTGGAGCTAAAGTCTAAAAAAAAAAAAACAAAGGAGCAGTCAGGTTCTTTATTGCAGAAGAGACATGGAGGGGTTTATTTACTAAAGCTGGAGAGTCCAAAATCAGACTCCCTTCTGCATAGAAACCAATCAGCTTCTAACCTCAGCTTGTTCAATGAAGCTTTGGCAATGAAACCTGGAAGCTGATTGGTTTCTATGCAGAAGGGAGTCTGATTTTGGACTCTCCAGCTTTAGTAAATAAACCCCGGAATGTCTGTTCTGCAATAAAATAAACCTGCCTGCCTAATCACAGTCTTCTGTAAAAAGTACACTGAGCTATACAGTGAGTGTGTGCTGGAATGACTGCACTCTTATGCATGTGCGTAGGGACCACGCTGGCATGGGACCGCGCTGAAGCAGATAAGTATTTTGAAGTTTAGTTTCTCTTTAATTCCCACCTTGTTCACGGGTGAACACAATTTAACAAAAATATCTGCTTACCTCTAAAGTGCGGACATTGGCCAGGGCTGGGGGCAGCTCATTCAGTCTGTTTTCCCTGATGTCTAAAGTGCGGAGGCAGCGTAGCCCCCCTACTGTTGGTGGAAGAATCTTCAATTTATTTGCTGGAGCAAGAGGGAAAAAAACACTTAAAGTTAGTATGAAGCAAGTGATGTGTCCCATACTTGATCAAATTAAACAGGTGAGCCAAACCAGTTACAGGATCTCTTACTGCAAGTTCACGGCGCCTTAATGAATCCATCAGCACATGCCTTTAGGGATACCATTTTGCCCATTGCCAATAAAACTAAACCACACAGCAAACACAAGCCAGTTACATCAGATGGAGAGAAGAGGCTCTTGAAAATCATCCCAACTGTCCACTGCAAACAGAGGTGAATGATAAAGATGTGCCCAAGTGCTCACTGGAGGTTATTATATCTAATGTGACTCTCTCGCATTCCAAAAAAATATAAAAAGTTGCTAACACACATAGCGTAGACACCAAGAGGTGTGGCAAAGTAAATTTAAAGAGGTGAATGCCTCTTTACAATAATTACTAACAAAACTGATCTTTAGATGTTCCAGTAAATTAACTTGATTTGAGATTTTTTTGCCTTCAAAAATTTCAGCTGTACACAATTATTATTATTATTATTATTATACAGGATTTATATAGCGCCGACAGTTTGCTCAGCGCTTTACTTTGTGGTGGGAGATGCCAAGTTGGCATCGTTTTAGGTAACACTGAAGGAGCGCTGTGATAGATAGGAAGAGAGCCAGGAGAGAGTGGAGTCTCTGAGGCCAAGAGAGTGTAGTTTTTTGAGGAGGAGGGGGTGGTCAACCGTGTCGAAAGCCGCAGAGAGGTCGAGGAGTAGGAGCACTGAATAGTGGCCATTAGTTTTGGCGGTAAGCAGGTCGTTGGTGAGTTTGAGTAGGGCAGTTTCGGTGGAGTGTAGGGGGCGGAAGCCAGACTGTAGGGGATCAAGGAGGTTGTTGTCGGTGAGATGGGAACTCAGGCGATTATAGACTAAGCGCTCTAGGAGTTTGGATGTAAATGGCAGCAGGGAGATGGGTCTTAGGTTGTTCAGGTTAGTGGGATCCAGGTGGGGTTTTTTAAGTATGGGAGTGATGTGCGCGTGCTTTAGAGGGGAGGGGAATGTGCCAGTAGAGAGGGAAAGATTAAAGATGTGAGTGAGGGAGTGTAGGATGGAAGAAGAGTGTGATCGTAGGAGTTGTGAGGGGACAGGGTCAAGGGGGCAGGTGGTGAGGCGGGCTTCTGAGAAGACCTTGGTGACCTCTTCAGTAGTAGCGAGGTCGAAGGAGTGGAGTGTTGAGGGGGTTTTAGTGTGAGGAGTGCTAGGTGGGGTGGAAGTCTGAGCAGTGGCGAGGTCGAAGGAGTGGAGTGTTGAGGGGTTTTCGTGTGAGGAATGCTAGGTGGGGTGGAAGTCTGAGCAGTGGCGATGTCCCTACGAACTGCGTTGATCTTGTTTTTGAAGTGGTTAGCAATCTCGTGGGCAGTGAGTGAGGTACTGGGTGGAGGTGGGAGCGGAGAGAGAGTAGAGAGTTAAAAGTAGAGAAAAGCCGGCGAGGATTGGAGGTATTAATGAGGATTATTAATGGATTGGAGTATTAATGAGGGTAACAAAGTAGGCTTGCTTGGCAGCATGAAGGGAGGAAGTGTACGTTAGGAAGGCAGATTTATATCAGGTGAACGCTTGTTGGGATTTGGTTTTTCGCCATAGTCGCTCCAGCGCACGACTGTGTCGGTTTCAGATTTGGTGTGGTCAGTCTGCCAGGGTTGTAGCGGTCGAGGTCTAATGCTACGTGTTGTTGGGGGTGCTAGCGAGTCTAGAGTGGCTGACAGCGAGTTATTATAAACAGTAGTGGCCAGGTCAGGGCAGGACAGGGCAAGGATGCTGTCGTAAAGTTGGTCAGCTGCAGAGTGGAAAGGGGCAGGGTTCAAGTTGCGGAGGTTTCTGCTGGTGATAGTTTGACGTTTGGAGGGATAGGTGTTTGAGGACGAGGAGACGGAGAAGGTAATGAGGTTGTGATCAGAGAGAGGAAAGGGGTGTTTGTGAGGTTGTTGGGAGTGCAGAGATGAGAGAAGACAAGGTCTAGGGTGTTCCCGTCGGAGTGGGTGGTGGACTGCATACACTGTGCGAGTGCAAAAGAAGAGGTGGAGGAGTTGGGATGTAGCCGGGTTATCGATGTTGATAGGGATGTTGAAGTCTCCAAGGATGATGGTGGGTAGCTTGGAGGAGAGAAAGAAGGGGAAGCCAGGCGGAGAAGTCATCGAGAAAGAAGTACACGGGTCCAGGAGGCCGATAGATTACTGCAATCCTCAGAGAGATTGGAAAGAATAGCCGGATGCAGTGGGTCTCGAAAGAAGAGAAGGATAGAGAGGGAGGGTTTGGGAGTACTTGGAAGGTGCTCTGAGGTGACAGGAGCATACCAACCCCACCACCTTTCCGACCGCTGGGTCTGGGTGAGTGGGTCCAGATGAGACCTCCATAAGAGAGTGCCGCAGGGGAGGCAGAGTCAGTAGCTTGGATCCAGGTTTCAGTGATCACTAGGAGGTTAAGGGAGCGGGAGACAAAGCGGTCATGGATGGCGGTAAGTTTGTTGCAAACCGATCGGGCGTTCCAGAGTGCACATGAAAACGGGAGGGTGGTTTTGGGGAGCAAAGGGACAGGTATTAGATTGAGGGGGTTGCGGCAGGTCATGGAAGAAAGAGGATGCCTTGTGTGTGGGCGAGGTAGTGGAGGACCAGGGTTCGGGGAGATGTCCCCAGAAGTTAGGAGAAGAAGAAGGGTGAGAAAGGTGGCATGGGAGCGGGATGTACATGAGCGCGTATGTCTACCAGTGATGGCATTCGGGTCAGTGGGAGAGTGGAATATCAAGAGGAGGTGATGAGAGCCGTAGTAGGGAGATGGAAACAGTGAAGATGAGATGTACAGTTGTTTGGGTGGAGCAGAGAGAAAAGAGATTTTAGGAACGGAGGAGAGGAGTATGAGGAGGAGGAGTAGAGGAGGCATTTTAGGAAGGTATATGAGTGGTGGTCAGGTGTGGTGGAATGTTTCTCAGGGTGCTTGATTGCAGATAGTCCAACGTACAGTACAGTATCTCGTTGTATCTTCCTGCAGCTAGAGTTCTCGTGCTTAGGTTCAAGATGGGTTGAGTTCAGTTAGATAACTTGTGGCCAAGGGTAGTACTGGCCCCAGGGGATCCATGGCGCCAGGCGCCGGTGCAGGGGGGTAGTAGCATGGTTGTAATCAAGCTACAGGTTCCAGTTTGTGCAAGTCCCAGATTGTAGGATGAAGTTTGGTTTGAGGAGATGAGGGGTGGACATCAGCTGTAGAAGTGTTTCCCAGGTGGTAGAGATGAGATTTAGTAAAAGGTTGTGAGGGGTAGGCATCCGCTGTGGGAGTTGGGTGTAGTAGGGGCTAAGGGGACCACGGAAACAGCAGTCGGGCCCTCTCCCACGCTGGCTGTACTCACAGGGGGTAGACAGATGGGCTTCAGGTCCGGGCAGGGGCGCGTCGTTGTAGGCGGTGGTAGGCCTCACCAGGCCGAGATCATCTGCTGGGCTCAACTGCGTGGAAATAGGCCCTCTTCGGTTCACTCTTTCAGGTGTGGATGGGGATGTGCGGGTGAAGCTCCTTTAGGCCAGCTGCAGGCTCCCCTCGGATCGGGGGGGGGGGGGGGGGGGGGTGTGCCGTGGTAGGCCGCAGCAGGCCCTGCCAGGCCAGGTGCAGTGGTAGTGTGGTAGTTCTCGGCCTAGGAGTGTGGTAGGCCTCGGCCTAGGCAAATAGCAAGTAACCACGTTGGTATGCTGCTGCCCTAGACTAAATCACTTATTTGTCCACCACTGGAAATTATTAGGTGTAAGACCTGGATTAAAAGGCAGGGTTATTTAATATGGGGACCAAGGGACCATAAGGAGATTGAAAATTATATCTCATGCATGCTGAGACGGTCTCAAAGGCCAAAAGAGAATGACAGGCATAAAATCTTAGGTCTAACCATGCTGGGTAACCACATAGGATGATCTACTCTTTTCAGGACGCAAGAAAATGTTTCTATTGACATCAATGCGGGAGTCGGTTGTATCAAATGGAATTTGATTAGTTGCATCAAATGGAATTTGATAAGTTGCAACAATTGAGCCACATGGAAGTATTTGAACAAATCAGGTACTCCCAAACCTCCTCTTGGCTTAGGAGTATGTAATGTTCTTTTGTATTTCAATAATTTTATTAATTTTACACATTTTAAACAAGAAAGAACTGAAGCAAAAGGCACACCCCCATACAGGGGCTGTCAATGGCACAGAAAATTTTAAAAATACAGTGAAACCAAAAGGCAGATCTTTACCGCCGCACAAAAAACAGACAAAGACAAAAAGAAAAGAAAAGAAAGAAAAAGAAGGCAAGACCAACAGCAGGGATCCGGGAACGCCTAATATCGATAAACAACCTAGACCCAGACTAGCCGGCCTACACCTAATGTTCTTTTGATCACTCTTATCTCCCCATATACATTTTAATACCTTATTTTGAAAGACTTAGGTCATGACTAGAAATCCCTATCAGTAAAGTCCTAAACAAGTAGAAGATTCTAGGCAGAACTATCTTCACAGAATAAATTCTGACAAACCACAATTGTTTTTTTGCATAATGGAGGGTAATTCCTTTGGTGTAGGTAAGGAAGGGTGCCAGTCACCCATTTAAAATTGAAAACATCCCTGAACATTGAGAAGGGTCTGGGCTTCCAAGGAAATGTTCAATGCCTGAAATTTGGATTGGTTTACTTTAAAGTGTTACTAAACCCACAACAGTAAAATCAGTCTGTATATGCAGTAAAACATGCTTGTTATACTCACTGTGGAACCTAAGGGGTTAATCCTTTGCATTGTGTAAAAACGCTGTTTGATCCTGACTTTTCTGATCCTCCCCTTCTTCCAGTGTCTCCCTCCTGATTCCTGATAAGACATATCATGTGGAGACATTCTGCACATGCTCAGTTTGGTGTGTATTGCTAGAGAGGTTTTTATTTTTCTTGGGAGAGTGCATGTGATCAGCACAGGGCCAATCAGCACTATCCAGAAAGAGGTCAGGGGTTCTGCATCCTCCCACAGCAGAATGAAAACACCTCCTACAAGTTTTAACATGTGTTCAGCT